GGGGGGGGGGGGGGGGGGAGATGAGGAGGGTGGAGGGTTTGAGGGGTCATTTGCCTCTTAGCAGTCACTGGTGTATAGGGGTGGAGGTGGTTATCCCTTAAATCAATATGTATCTGTTGGTCATGGGCTGTGTGTGTTCCTCCAGTCACCTATAGGTTGGTCATGGGCTGCTTGTGTGTTCCTCCAGTCACCTATAGGTTGTCATTGTGGGCAGTTGTGTTCAGATTGATGCATTCAGGTGGATGCGCTTTTTGTTTTAAACTTTTATTTATCTTTGTTGAAAAGGATGAGTTTCGGAACATGTATCCTGGGGTTTGCATTTCCACTAGCTTGATGTCTGGCCTAGTAGCAAAATACTCAATAGTTGCTTCAAAGTGATATGTTGGTTTGAAGAATTTTCAAAATCTGTCTTTGGACTAGTACAAAATATAGGAAATAATACACCTCTGACTTATACCTATAGTTATTCAGACATAGTCACAACAGGTTATATAGACTTTTTATTTGCATATAAAAAGACTGCAGACATCATAAATATTGAAGTAAAGTATCAGTTTGAAAAGGTGATAGTTGGGGAGAATTATTGGGTAATGAATCATAACGTTATCAACTGATCGTTACCAGGCCCCGCGGCCGATCCCAGGTCGGTACACACCTATTATTCAACACAGAACTTGATAAACACTGACACGTTCAACTTTTTACGTAAATTTTTAATGAGGAAGCGAAGACTACATGATATTTTATACATCACAGAGTATCAATTGTGTAGTAGCAGGGTTAACACTGCTAGGTCAGCTGGAGTCGGTGTTGCTGAAGTTTACACAATACTCTTAAAATCTCAATAATAAGCCTGACTGGAAAAAGTCTGTCTTTTAGATAAGCCTTAGGACCTTTGCAGTCAAACGCATCTCGAAAGTTATACCGATTTCACCATTAAGCCTGGTATGAAAATATGCTTTGCAGTCAATTTGCAATAAATGGCAGACCTTGCTAATTGATGACATTTTTTTGTTGAAAAAAAAAATGAAAATATCTGTAGCTATGTATTTTGCGCACCCCAAACATCAAACTATATTTCAGTACCAAAAGACTGTGCAAATACTACAACTTCTGAATATTTTAAGCAATAAGCGTAACTATGGCATAGAACATATAAAAGGATAAAATAAGTAAGACAGCCTTGAAAATAAGACATACAAGCTTTACATTCTAAATGGCTTTGAAAATAAGACGGCCTTGAAAGTATGGTGGCGAATATTATTCTATTATGGCCCTTTCCCGAGGGAACAGTTCTCTTATAGTGTTGTCTGAGGAGGCACTATACCTGTCCAGACAACACTTGAAGAGAACTGTTCCCGAGGGAAAGGGTCATAATAGATTTAGTACGTACATCACATGACTGTCATTTGACAATAAAAAGTAACATATTTAATAATTAACAACAAATGGCAATAAGATAATTTTTTGTGTTAGAAGATCTCTCCTTTTTTGTTGCGTTATTCAATTCACTGAATTGAATCACCGCTAGCTCACATACGGTTCCCCTTTCCAGTAGGAAGTCTGTAAGGACTGCAAAGTCAAATGGTGTCGTCTGCTTCGTCTTTATGCATTGCTGAGCCTCTGCCAAGCAATCGGCATTCCTGGTCCTGAAATTTGAAGCCATTTTGGCGGATGACAACAATGAAGTGAAAGTAGAATATGTACAGCGCCCCCTAGGAGAAGGGGCGCAACTCTTAGTGTCATGCTACTTTTCCCGTAGTCTCAGAGGTCCAAAAAAAAGGTATATTGCCCGTCTCCAGGTATAGTTCCCGTTGTCAAGGGCGGATGCTAACTATACCAAATAGAGCAAGGGTTAAGTTATCCAATAGCTATCCTAGAAATTATCATTTGATTTGATGAAAACCTTCTGTAATGGTTTCCCCTTGAACTGCATTACAGTATCTGCATGAGAATTATAAAGCCATATATATAGTAAAATCCCGGATTTCCCCAACATAATTCCATCCGCCATCATATTCCCAAAACAAATGGTTAAAATCACACTATTTTGACCTTGTTAAATACTGCCAATTTGAGTCGAGTACAGGTATATGCCGATGACAGGTATGTAAACGTATGTGTGTACATTGTATTGTTGCACGTGACTGCCGACTGACCAGGTAATCAGCTGTATGTTTTTCACGTTCAACAATTTGATACATTAAATTACAATTTTGAAAAAAAAAAATTCTGAAGTTTATTTGAAGTATAAGTTCACTTATGGTGTGTGAACACTTGGGTTCAAAAAAACTGATATACCGCCAAACTTGTTATACCGCCAAAATCACAGAGGACAGAAGGTGGCGGTATAACAAGGTGTTACTGTAAATTTATATATATTACACACAGGACTTAATATATATACTGTACCAAACACACAGGACTTAATACAATACGGTAATAGTGAGTGTCTGTGAGTATTTACTGTAAAAATGAGTGTCTGTGAGTATTTACAGTAAAAGTGAGTGTCTGTGAGTATTTACTGTAATAGTGAGTGTTGGTGAGTATTTACTGTAATATTGAGTGTAAGTGGACTTAATACAATACGGTAATAGTGAGTGTCGGTGAGTATTTATTGTAATATTGAGTGTTGGTGAGTATTTTCTGTAAAAGTGAGTGTCGGTGAGTATTTACTGTAATAGTGAGTGTTGGTGAGTATTTACTGTAAAAGTGAGTGTCGGTGAGTATTTACTGTAATAGGGAGTGTTGGTGAGTATTTAATGTAATAGTGAGTGTTGGTGAGTATTTACTGTAAAAGTGAGTGTCGGTGAGTATTTACTGTAATAGTGAGTGTCTGTGAGTATTTACTGTAAAAATGAGTGTCTGTGAGTATTTACAGTAAAAGTGAGTGTCTGTGAGTATTTACTGTAATAGTGAGTGTTGGTGAGTATTTGCTGTAATAATAGAGTGTCAGTGGACTTAATACAATACGGTAATAGTGAGTGTTGGTGAGTATTTATTGTAATATTGAGTGTTGGTGAGTATTTTCTGTAAAAGTGAGTGTTGGTGAGTATTTTCTGTAAAAGTGAGTGTCGGTGAGTATTTACTGTAATAGGGAGTGTTGGTGAGTATTTACTGTAGTAGGGAGTGTCTGTGAGTATTTACCGTAGTAGTGAGTGTCGGTGAGTATTTACCGTAATAGTGAGTGTCGGTGAGTATTTACTGTAATAGTGAGTGTTGGTGTGTATTTACTGTAATAGTGAGTGTTGGTGAATATTTACTGTAATAGTGAGTGTTGGTGAGAATTTACTGTAATAGGGAGTGTTGGTGAGTATTTACTGTAATAGTGAGTGTTGGTGAGTAATTACTGTAATAGTGAGTGTTGATGAGAATTTACTGTAATAGGGCGTGTTGGTGAGTATTTACTGTATTAGTGAGTGTTGGTGAGTAATTACTGTAATAGTGAGTGACGGTGAGTATTTACTGTATTAGTGAGTGTTGGTGAGTAATTACTGCAATAGTGAGTGTTGGTGAATATTTACTGTAATAGTGCGTGTTGGTGAGTATTTACTGTATTAGTGAGTGTTGGTGAGTAATTACTGCAATAGTGAGTGTTGGTGAGAATCTACTGTAATAGGGAGTGTTGGTGAGTATTTACCGTAATAGTGAGTGTCGGTGAGTATTAACTGTAATAGTGAGTGTTGGTGTGTATTTACTGTAATAGTAAGTGTCGGTGAGGATTTACTGTAATAGTGAGTGGCGGTGAGTATTTACTGTATTAGTGAGTGTTGGTGAGTAATTACTGCAATAGTGAGTGTTGGTGAGTAATTACTGTAATAGAGAGTGTTGGTGAGTATTTACCGTAATAGGGAGTGTTGGTGAGTATTTACTGTAAAAGTGAGTGTCGGTGAGTATTTACTGTAATAGTGAGTGTCGGTGAGTATTAACTGTAATGTTACATAAGATATTTCCTGAAATGAAAATTCATGCATGAAAATCTGTTGGAAATTTTCCATAATGTTTCTGTGTATTGTGACTTGTATGGCAATAAGTTGAATGAAGTCTTCCAGCCTTATAGTTGTGATGGACCACGTGTGTTGTGTTTGGTAAGCATTCATTAAGTAGTGATCTATGGAGAATTGTGTGAGGATTTTAACAGAAACGACTGCCAAGTTTGATCATTTGTCTGATGGTGAAGATCCGAGTTTTTTGTTGTTGTTTTTTTTCGTGTTGGAATATGCCAGCTATGTAGTTTTAGATATTGATCTGGTTTAAGGGTGTAGTCAACTTCTGCTTGGCTCGCTCTCCACCATTCACACTCACATAGGAACACTCCATGGAACGGGGCACAATGTTAAAGGGTTAAACAAATCTGAACTTGTCTTTTGGATGACAGTTTGTCTGAGTTTGTGCGTAATTACAGCCCTTTTGCCAGGATAGGTTGTAATAAAAATGCTGTGGAATAGGCCCACCATTGCTGTTGTAACTGATTACTGATTGCAGGATAATCTTTTGAATCATTTTCATCTCATCTGGCCCAAAAGGCCAAGTGAGCTTATGCGTTGGTGTGACATCCTGCATCCTTCATCGCTCTGTCATCCATCAACCTTTTCTTTAAACAGCTTCTTCTTAAGAACTATTAGCCATAGGGTGATAATATTTGGCTTTCATTTGATCTAAAAGCAACTTCTTAAGAACTATTAATGTTCATTGGGTAATGATATTTAGTCTGTAGTAGTTACCAGTGTGCGGGGCTTTGAAATTTGCCAAAATATATGACCTTGATCGACTATCTTCAATCGATAAAATCTCCTAACAAAGTTGTATATTTAGCCTGAAGTATTAGTTTGCTGGGTATAAAATTTGTTTAAATATATTTGAACTTAAACTTCTTTGAAAGTCACAAGGATGAGATGTGTTTGAACAGCATTGAATACTTGGTGAGCAATGCAGACCAATTAGGCCACTTGCCTTTTTTTAACTTTCTAACATGAAAATAAAAATTGTAGGGTTTTGAATTTTTATCCACTTTTACTGTTGAATGTAAAACAATCTGTAACCAAAAGAAGGGGAAAACATCTTTGCAATAAGAAAGATCAAGAAAGGCTCCATTAGTAGAAATATTAGATAAAAGGTTTAAGAAAACAAGAGCATTTCTTATAATTGAAAAAGTCAAGTCATAGAAGTTTTGCTGTGTTTACAGTCGCCAGGTGTAGACAGCGGAGATCCTCAGCAACAAGATGCCGCCCTTAAGATCCAGACAGAATACCGGCGACACTCCGCCAAAAAGGAAGTGGATGATATGCGTGAGGAGGATGCCGCCACAACCATCCAAGCTGGGGTCAGAGGTCACCAGGACAGACAAAAGGTTGACGAGATTAAGTAAGTTGAAAATCCAACAAGGTTAAGAGGTAATATGAGGTCAAAGGTCACTAGGGAACACAAAAGATGTACAGGGTTTAGAGGTCATTAAAGATCAGAGGTCACCAGGACAGGCAGAAGGTTAATAAGCTGAAGTTGTACAGGGTTAAAATGCCATTAGAAATTTCCCAGTTTCAATTTTTGATAATGAAGATGGCATTGATTGACTTCAATTGAATTTTTCTATTCCAAGAAATGATTGACAGGTGTATATTTTTCCCCCCCCCCCCCTCGTGGTACCGTTGTTGCTGTCATACCAAGTTTTTTAACACATTTCTTTCATATGCTTTGTAATTTACTGTCATACCAAGCAACAACCATTTACTATTATTGATGTTATCATTGTTATCACATTGGCAGATCTATCGCAGGAGTTTGAAATTTGTAGATTCAAATTATGTTCAGAACAGGAATATTCCAGACAGAAAAGTGTCATGTGAAATATATATATCAGTTAGATTGAGTTTATTAATTGGCACTAGTAATTTGGTTCAGGCTTGAGGTAGTGTGAGGAAGGCGCCAAGTCTGATAATGAGGCTGGTTATATATAGTCACGGTAACAGCTGATGTTAAGTAATTAACGGCAGGTCATGGCCCCGAGATCTGTGTGTCTGTTGATTTCTCGGTTACTGCTGTCATTCTCTCATTGACAGGACCGGAGATGATTATCAAGTAAGTTGAATTGTATAATCTCTGGAATCAGAATGTTTTGTTTTAGTTCTGGATTGAGGACGATGTGGCCAATTTGTTATGGAGGAGTAGAACTTCAGTATAGAATGTTAATTTTCTCTAAAATATTCAGATTTGGACAGGACAGTGTAATTAATCATGCCTTGTCTGAGTACCTAGAAGTTGCCTTTTTGTTAGTAAAATTTCGTTGAAATCATGATAAACTTATCTTGGGGTCTTGGTATAAAAGAATAGATGAATTGGAAACTATAGTTTTGAACTTGAATTTTCCATAAAATCCATAAAAAATCTAAAAATATTAACAAAATAAGGCAATGGCCATTTATATTTTGTATGGAGATTGATTAAATATGTGGAAGGATAAGGCGAAGTGAAAATGTGGGGAAACTTGGCAATGGTCAAATAAGTATTCATTCTAATCACAGTGAAAATATTGTGTACCTTATACATTTAATAACAAAGTCCTCAAACTTTGCTGTCCATATTTTGACATTGTTTGACTTGTTTATACATTTGTTGTCTTCAACTCATTCACCCCTGAACACACATTTGAACTCTTTCAATTCAAAGGTTGGAATAGTTAATTTTGAAATTTCAGGAGTGAATGAGTTAGTGTCGGAAATATTCTCTCTATGTTACCTGACCTATTGACAAGGTGGAGAAGACAGTGTTTTAATGTGATGTAACATGTTACAGAGAGGGTGAAGCACGACTCAAGTCTGCGGAAGTGGACATCAACCTTGAAGACCCAGAAGTTGAGGCCGCCGCTGTCAAAATACAGGCAGGGTTCAAGGGTTACAAGGCCAGAAAGGAGGTCAAGGAGTCGAAGGTCAGTGAAAAACACTCAACAAGAAGATTACCTGTGATAAACAGATTTATTTTGTAGATATGACAGAATTACTATAGAAATGCACATCCTTAATACTGATCTGAGTAGCCTGATCTGAGTAGCCTGATCTCCAGGGTGAAAAACAGGGGTGACTTTGAAAGAGTTTTACTTGGATTTCAACATATAAGGTAGGATTGATATGTGAATGGCGAAAGTGGTAACTCAAAAAATTATCTCAAAAGTCAAAGGACAGTAGAAGACATTACTTGGTGTGATGAGGTTTCACCTGGACAGGTAAGTCTTCAGCAATGTCACTGAACTTAAGGGACACTAAACAGGTGTGATGACCATCAACTTTACAAGGTAAGACATGTTTTTGCCCGAGCGGGATTGAAAGCTTAAGCACCTAACTTGAACATTGCCTTGTTTGGCTAGATTAATGGATGTTGTTTGTGGCTTTAGCACATTAAGCATGGCTATACACTGATATAATTCACTTTTTATATCACCTTTCATATCACAAGTCAGCAGTGGGATGCAAAATGATTTTGTTTTTTGCATTACTATATAATGGGGAAGTACCTGATTATCTCCCTTTGATACTGTTTAAATATCAGATAATGAGTAACCAGATTGTTTCCATTTTTCTGTCTTTTTCATTGTAGAAAACCTGTAAGTAACTTTTGAAGGAAATCTACTTATGCTATTGTGTTATCAGTTACATCTGAACAGATGTAGTGTTCTGTTCACATTTGCTGTGAACATGCTGTTTGATAAAATAAAAAAAAATAAAAAAAATCCCATCATCCAAGAAATGTATATAATATTGCAACTCATTGAAAAGAAACATGAAATTGTATTTAGTGCCAACAACTTATTTATCATCGAGGTAGAATTTACACTGCTGAGTTAACAAATAGATTTATGACAAGGGGAGGTAATCAGGTAGGCTCCCATTGCATCAAGCATGCCATCCGCACCATTCATATCCATTGTATATCATTGTTCTGTAGATTTGTAGATTTACTTGGAGAAAAAAAACACATAAAAAAATTATTTGATTCAAAATATAGAGTAAGAGTGGAGAAGCTACAGAAGAAGCAGATCAGGGGGAGACAACTGTGACAGAAAAAGAATCAGAAGAGGTAATTGACATAGACCTTAACGACCCAGAAGTAGCCAAGGCGGCCAACCTCATTCAGGGAAAATTCAGAGGCTTTTCCAAAAAAAAATGACTGAAAAAAAGTTGACGCAGAATGAAAATTATACAATTATTAAAATTTATACAATTTGAAAATTGTTTGAAATATTTCGATGCCTAGTAAAAACATAATTAACACACATGATGGATTTTATCTTTTAAGTTAATTTTCATTTACTGAATGCAGAAAATTTTATTTTGCAATCAAAATTCAGAGGAAATGAAAAAAAAAATGTGTATTATTTAAATGGTCGTTATAGTTTGTAGTAAAATGTTAGAATCAATTGTTATACAGTTGATTGATTGATAGGTTGGTTTAACATCCACTTCACTACCGAGTAGTGTGGGTTATCCATCAGTACACAGTCTCACTTACCTCCATATATAGCTGTAGTGTAATTGAGTAGGAATGATGTTAACAAGCTCTCCTGACAGCTTTATTAGCCTCAGGAATCATCACAGGACTCCCCAGCGTGATTGTCATAAATACACGTTATATAATATTCATATTAACACATAATTCACGCGGAATGGGCATGGTTGGTCATGTTGGCCTGCTTATGTGACTAGATTGATATGTTGTAAGGATCAGATAGGAGAGGTCCCTATAAAGTTAGTACACCCTGGGGTACACCAACTCTACACTCAGTACACCCTGGGGTACACCAACTCTACACTCAGTACACCCTTGGGTACACCAACTTAACACTCAGTACACCCTGGGGTACACCAACTCTACACTCAGTACACCCTGGGGTACACCAACTTAACACTCAGTACACCCTGGGGTACACCAACTTAACACTCAGTACACCCTGGGGTACACCAACTCTACACTCAGTACACCCTGGGGTACACCAACTCTACACTCAGTACACCCTGGGGTACACCAACTTAACACTCAGTACACCCTGGGGTACACCAACTCAACACTCAGTACACCCTGGGGTACACCAACTCTACACTCAGTACACCCTGGGGTACACCAACTTAACACTCAGTACACCCTGGGGTACACCAACTTAACACTCAGTACACCCTGGGGTACACCAACTCTACACTCAGTACACCCTGGGGTACACCAACTCTACACTCAGTACACCCTGGGGTACACCAACTCTACACTCAGTACACCCTGGGGTACACCAACTTAACACTCAGTACACCCTGGGGTACACCAACTCAACACTCAGTACACCCTGGGGTACACCAACTCTACACTCAGTACACCCTGGGGTACACCAACTCTACACTCAGTACACCCTGGGGTACACCAACTCTACACTCAGTACACCCTGGGGTACACCAACTCTACACTCAGTACACCCTGGGGTACACCAACTCTACACTCAGTACACCCTGGGGTACACCAACTCTACACTCAGTACACCCTGGGGTACACCAACTCTACACTCAGTACACCCTGGGGTACACCAACTCTACACTCAGTACACCAACTCTACACTCAGTACACCAACTCTACACTCAGTACACCCTGGGGTATACCAACTCTACACTCAGTACACCCTGGGGTACACCAACTCTACACTCAGTACACCCTGGGGTACACCAACTCTACACACAGTACACCCTGGGGTACACCAACTCTACACTCAGTACACCAACTCTACACTCAGTACACCAACTCTACACTCAATACACCCTGGGTTACACCAACTCTACACTCAGTACAACCTGGGGTACACCAACTCTAAACTCAAAACAGGGTAGTTCACATAATGCAATCTTCACATGGACCCAATTTCATAACCCATTGCTTATGTTGTTCATCTCTGTGGTAAAAGCAATTGTTTTTATTTCAAAAAGACAGAGGAACTGATTTTATTTGCCTGGAAATATTTTATAAAGGGAGGTAACTTTGACCAGGAAATATCTCATGCATGTTGCTATACAACCTGTTTAGCAGGGGAAGTCACAGAAATTGAGAATGTAGACCTAGACTTTCCAGTTTACAATTTGGTTGTGGGTGATTTATGTTAATCTGGGGAGTACTTCGTGGAGTATTTGGTGTAGGAATATGTATTTGCCATGGGGTGTATTTGTGTAGGACTTTTTCTTGTTTAACCTGTGTGTAGATTATCGTTGAGAGTCCATCAGGTCCATTATAGAGACAGGGGAATACAAGAGGAGCTGTACACGATACAGAACTAGAAACAGAGCAGTACTTTCTGACCAATATAAACCACTAACTCACAGAAATGGGAATTGAATACAAACTGCTGCTCCTAAAACCATGGTTACTAGTTTATGTTTATGATAATTTTAGCCCAGGGTTACAGTGTTTAGAAAAGTAATAATCCCTTAATGTTAAACCTACTTAGAATGCTAGGTGGATTTCTGGAGGTGGAAGGACTTCCTGTGTAAAGACAGCAGTATGTAATCTGAGACAGTTCCTGTAAACCTCTTCCTCTTTCTTAGGAGGTATGCTGAGGTCATGTTCCTATGTGTAACCCCAACCCTACCCCTATAACTAACTTATAAACAACGAACAGATATTCTTCAAATAAGAAATAGAAGATACAATCACCCTGCATATAGGGTAATAACATTATACCATTAATTGTCCACGAACTATACTCTCATATAGTTACCAGTAATGAAATATAAATAAAATGTTATCAAAATTAAACCATATTAAAGTTAAAATTTAGATTTGACTGAGTCCAGGGCCTGTATTCATAAAACCGTCTCATGCTCAAGCATTGGATTCTGTGCTCAAACCAACTTTCTTATATCTTGCTTAAGTCTTGTCAAACAATCAAAAAGTCAAATACCAGGTATAAACATTGAAAACAGTTTTCGGCTTTGAGTTTCTTCAATGTTTTTTTATAAATTTATAATGGGGACAAGAAATTAGGCTTGAGCACAAATTCCATTCCACAGGCTTAGTTGTACAGGAAACTGTTATTTTGATGATAAATAAGACTGTTATTTCTGGAATATAAACAAAAGCAAACAAAAGAACATTAACCAATCATTGGCTCTTTAACAATTAATCACCAAATTAATTGACCAATCATATTGTCTGTAACACCTATGGTCAAGTAAAGTAAATAAACTGCTGTAAATGGATGTGTTATTGATTGGACTGTCAAACGAACAGCTCTTTAGAATGTGTGGGACAAAAAAATGAAAACTGCTACAAACGATAAATAATTTAGGATTTTCTCATCAATTATTCAACCCAACAAGCCACTATCATCCAAATTTATTTAACAAATCAATACTTGGTATTATGTTAACATGTCAGTACTTGGTATTGTGTTAACATGTCAGTACTTTGTATTATGTTAACATGTCAATACTTGGTATTATGTTAACATGTCAGTACTTGGTATTATGTTAACATGTCAGTACTTGGTATTATGTTAACATGTCAGTACTTGGTATTGTGTTAACATGTCAGTACTTTGTATTGTGTTAACATGTCAATACTTGGTGTTATGTTAACATGTCAGTACTTTGTATTATGTTAACATGTCAATACATGGTATTATGTTAACATGTCAGTACTTGGTATTGTGTTAACATGTCAGTACTTTGTATTGTGTTAACATGTCAATACTTGGTGTTATGTTAACATGTCAGTACTTTGTATTATGTTAACATGTCAATACTTTGTATTATGTTAACATGTCAATACTTGGTGTTATGTTAACATGTCAATACTTGGTATTATGTTAACATGTCAGTACTTGGTATTATGTTAACATGTCAATACTTGGTATTATGTTAACATGATAATACTTTGTGTTATGTTAACATGTCAATAATTGGTGTTATGTTAACATGTCAATACTTGGTATTATGTCAACATGTCAATACTTGGTGTTATGTTAACATGTCAGTACTTGGTATTTTGGTAACATGTCAATACTTGGTATTATGTTAACACGTCAATACATGGTATTATGTTAACATGTCAGTACTTGGTATTGTGTTAACATGTCAGGACTTTGTATTGTGTTAACATGTCAATACTTTGTATTATGTTAACATGTCAATACTTGGTGTTATGTTAACATGTCAGTACTTGGTGTTATGTTAACATGTCAATACTTGGTGTCATGTTCACATGTCAATACTTGGTGTTATGTTAACATGTCTAATACTTGGTGTTATTTTAACATGTCAATACTTGGTGTTATGTCAACATGTCAATACTTGGTGTCATGTTCACATGTCAATACTTGGTGTTATGTTAACATGTCAGTACTTTGTATTATGTTAACATGTCAATACATGGTATTATGTTAACATGTCAGTCCTTGGTATTATGTTAACATGTCAGTACTTGGTATTGTGTTAACATGTCAGTACTTTGTATTATGTTAACATGTCAATACTTGGTGTTATGTCAACATGTCAATACTTGGTGTCATGTTCACATGTCAGTACTTGGTGTTATGTTAACATGTCTAATACTTGGTGTTATTTTAACATGTCAATACTTGGTGTTATGTCAACATGTCAATACTTGGTGTCATGTTCACATGTCAATACTTGGTGTTATGTTAACATGTCAGTACTTGGTGTTATGTTAACATGTCTAATACTTGGTGTTATTTTAACATGTCAATACTTGGTGTTATGTCAACATGTCAATACTTGGTGTCATGTTCACATGTCAGTACTTGGTGTTATGTTAACATGTCTAATACTTGGTATTATGTTAACATGTCAATACTTGGTATTATGTTAACATGTCAATACATGGTATTATGTTAACATGTCAGTCCTTGGTATTATGTTAACATGTCAGTACTTGGTATTGTGTTAACATGTCAGTACTTTGTATTATGTTAACATGTCAATACATGGTATTATGTTAACATGTCAGAACTTGGTATTATGTTAACATGTCAATACTTGGTATTATGTTAACATGTCAATACATGGTATTATGTTAACATGTCAGTCCTTGGTATTATGTTAACATGTCAGTACTTGGTATTGTGTTAACATGTCAGTACTTTGTATTATGTTAACATGTCAATACATGGTATTATGTTAACATGTCAGTCCTTGGTATTATGTTAACATGTCAGTACTTGGTATTGTGGTAACATGTCAATACTTTGTATTATGTTAACATGTCAATACTTGGTATTATGTTAACATGTCAATACTTGGTATTATGTTAAAATGATAATACTTTGTGTTATGTTAACATGTCAATACTTGGTGTTATGTTAACATGTCAGTACTTGGTATTGTGGTAACATGTCAATACTTGGTATTATGTTAACATGTCAATACATGGTATTATGTTAACATGTCAGTCCTTGGTATTATGTTAACATGTCAGTACTTGGTATTGTGTTAACATGTCAGGACTTTGTATTGTGTTAACATGTCAATACTTTGTATTATGTTAACATGTCAGTACTTGGTATTATGTTAACATGTCAATACTTGGTATAATGTTAACATGTCAATACTTGGTGTTATGTTAACATGTCAGTACTTGGTGTTATGTTAACATGTCAATACTTGGTGTCATGTTCACATGTCAATACTTGGTGTTATGTTAACATGTCAGTACTTGGTGTTATGTTAACATGTCAATACTTGGTGTCATGTTCACATGTCAATACTTGGTGTTATGTTAACATGTCAGTACTTGGTATTGTGGTAACATGTCAATACTTGGTATTATGTTAACATGCCAATACATGGTATTATGTTAACATGTCAGTACTTGGTATTGTGTTAACATGTCAGTACTTTGTATTATGTTAACATGTCAATACATGGTATTATGTTAACATGTCAGAACTTGGTATTATGTTAACATGTCAATACTTGGTATTATGTCAACATGTCAGTACTTGGCATTGTGGTAACATGTCAATACTTGGTATTATGTTAACATGTCTAATACTTGGTGTTATGTTAACATGTCTAATACTTGGTGTTATTTTAACATGTCAATACTTGGTGTTATGTCAACATGTCAATACTTGGTGTCATGTTCACATGTCAATACTTGGTGTTATGTTAACATGTCAGTACTTGGTGTTATGTTAACATGTCAATACTTGGTGTCATGTTCACATGTCAATACTTGGTGTTATGTTAACATGTCAGTACTTGGTATTGTGGTAACATGTCAGGACTTTGTATTGTGTTAACATGTCAATACTTTGTATTATGTTAACGTGTCAATACTTGGTGTTATGTCAACATGTCAGTACTTGGTATTGTGGTAACATGTCAGGACTTTGTATTGTGTTAACATGTCAATACTTGGTGTTATGTTAACATGTCAGTACTTGGTGTTATGTTAACATGTCTAATACTTGGTATTATGTTAACATGTCAATACGTGGTATAATGTTAACATGTCAATACTTGGTGTTATGTTAACATGTCAGTACTTGGTGTTATGTTAACATGTCAATACTTGGTATTATGTTAACATGTCTAATACTTGGTGTTATGTTAACATGTCTAATACTTGGTGTTATGTTAACATGTCAATACTTGGTATTATGTTAACATGTCAATACATGGTATTATGTTAACATGTCAGAACTTGGTATTATGTTAACATGTCAATACTTGGTATTATGTCAACATGTCAGTACTTGGCATTGTGGTAACATGTCAATACTTGGTATTATGTTAACATGCCAATACATGGTATTATGTTAACATGTCAGTACTTGGTATTGTGTTAACATGTCAGTACTTTGTATTATGTTAACATGTCAATACTTTGTATTATGTTAACATGTCAATACTTGGTATTATGTTAACATGCCAATACATGGTATTATGTTAACATGTCAGTACTTGGTATTGTGTTAACATGTCAGGACTTTGTATTGTGTTAACATGTCAATACTTTGTATTATGTTAACATGTCAATACTTGGTGTTCTGTCAACATGTCAGTACTTGGTATTGTGGTAACATGGCAATACTTGGTATTATGTTAACATGTCAGTACTTGGTATTGTGTTAACATGTCAGTACTTTGTATTGTGTTAACATGTCAATACTTGGTGTTATGTTAACATGTCAGTACTTGGTATTGTGGTAACATGTCAATACTTGGTATTATGTTAACATGTCAATACATGGTATTATGTTAACATGTCAGTACTTGGTATTATGTTAACATGTCAATACTTGGTATTATGTCAACATGTCAGTACTTGGTATTGTGGTAACATGTCAATACTTGGTGTTATGTTAACATGTCAATACTTGGTGTTATGTTAACATGCCAATACTTGGTTTTATGTTAACATGTCGATACTTGGTGTTATGTTAACATGTCAATACTTGGTATTATGTTAACATGTCAATACTTGGTTTTATGTTAGCATGTCGATACTTGGTGTTATGTTAACATGTCAATACATGGTATTATGTTAACATGTCTAATACTTGGTGTTATGTCAACATGTCTAATACTTGGTGTTATGTCAACATGTCAGTACTTGGTATTATGTTAACATGATAATACTTTGTGTTATGTTAACATGTCAGTACTTGGTATTTTGGTAACATGTCAATACTTGGTATTATGTCAACATGTCAATACTTGGTTTTATGTTAACATGCCAATACTTGGTATTATGTTAACATGCCAGTACTTCGTTTTGTGTTAACATGGCAGTACTTTGTATTGTGTTAACATGTCAATACTTGGTATTATGTCAACATGTCAATACTTGGTGTTATGATAACATGCCAATACTTGGTGTTATGTCAACATGTCAGTACTTGGTATTATGTTAACATTTCAATACTTGGTGTTATGTCAACATGTCAGTACTTGGAATTGTGGTAACATGTCAATACTTGGTATTATGTCAACATGTCAGTACTTGGTATTGTGTTAACATGTCAGTACTTTGTATTATGTTAACAGGTCAATACTTTGTATTATGTTAACATGTCAGTACTTTGTATTATGTTAACATGTCAGTACTTTGTATTATGTTAACATTTCAAAACTTGGTGTTATGTTAACATGTCAATACTTGGTGTCATGTTCACATGTCAATACTTGGTGTTATGATAACATGCCAATACTTGGTTTTATGTTAACATGCCAATACTTGGTGTTATGTCAATATTTCACCTCTTCATACTACAGTACATTGGCAGTTTTAAAGTAATAAATGGAAGAATATTTTACAGACATAAACCTTAACTGAAAATATAAACTAATTGCGTGAAAGATGAATTCTGAAACTCAGCACAATCACTATGAGAGTATCCATTATTTCCCTTTTTGACAAAGAAGTACCCAACACAGAAGGAAAAAATGATACCTGTGTGTATTGAACACTGGTTTCAGTTGTTACAATAAATATGAGCAGAAATGCTGACAGAAAACAGGTCAATGTTTGATATAGATACTTTGGAATTCATTCTTTGAGAAAAGAAAATCAAAATTTTACTTTTTGGCATTTAAAATAGAGAAAATTCCAAAACAAATTGTCACTGTGTTTAATTGATGATAAACGATGGCCATGTTGACATATATATCAAACTATGTTATCTAACAGGAATGTAACTTAATCAATAATCTTTTCAAATCCCCTATCTAATTATTGCAGTTCAATAAAATATTTATTTAAAGATAAAAAAAATCAATAGATTTTACTATTTCTCTTTGAAATAAAACTTTACTTAATTAATTTCAAACTTTACTTTGAAATAAAATAAATACAATAATTATTGTTGAAAATGTTTTCACAATCAACTTATTGCTGTTGTGTTTTAACACTGTCTTGCTGTCGTTTACTTTCGCAACTAAAGTTGTTCGTTGCCAGTGACTCGATCATGATGTCTCTATAACAGTTTGTTGCTTTGAGAAACAATTCAATGTCATTTATTTCTGACGCCATTGTGATTTTGTTGCCACAGTTTGGACAGAAAAAATCTGATACCAAAGAAACCATTGACAATAATTTCTGTTGCCAACAACAGTACTTGTTGCCACAGTAACAATCTGTTGCCATGTCATTAGTTGCTATGGTCATACATCTTCACCAATAATTAATGCTGCCACAGAAATAACTGATTTCCATGACAACAGTTGTTATAGGAGGCTGAGGTGCCACAGGGATTGTTTCCTCATTACTGTTGCCTGTTGTTTTGTTGTCATTAGTTACCGCTGCCACCTTGTTCTGTTGCCACTTGTTTGTTGCCACTGCATGAGTTTGTTTGCTTTAGTTTGTTGTGTTGTTTGTTGATTAATCAAGGCCGAGGCTGATTTAGAACTTGATCCAAACGCTGATGAGGCAGCTATTAAGATACAGGCTGGATTCAGAGGTCACAAGGCCAGAAAGGAGGTCAAGGCCAAAAAGGTAGGTCAGAGTTCAAAGGTTACATTCTTTCAGTGCTGTGAATGTTGATGAGTATTGGTGAAGATATTGTGTTATATGTACATGTGTTCATCGCATTTGAACTGAAATTGACTGCTTCACAGCTAATACAATGTGTCTCGAGACCTATTGAGGTTTGTACCCAATAAACATGAACAGGACAGGATTTCATCCTTAAATATACTTTGAAGTGGAATTTTTCACATTTTTACTTGTGAAGGATATATTTTTCATGGAATGGCCATTTTCTAATTTTGTAATGCTACTAAGTATTTGTGACATATCGATATGTTAATGTTTTTTTATAACAGTACAATAGTCAGCTTCCAAGAATTATTGTTAAAATCATTTCCGTGTGCTTAATAAAACCTAGAATGGACAATAAGGAAAAAAGTCAGATTTGTAGCAGTTGGTTTGCATCAAGAAGTAGAGAGGTTATCGTCATTCAGATTGACAGACAATTTAAATAATTTATCGTTAAACCCTGAAATACCACACTTAGATGTGGTTTAATTCATCAGTTGAGTGTCACTACCAGTTAAGTTTTCTTCATATCAATATTTGGTTTCCTGACAAAAGAGACTTTTTTTATCTTTTTAACCGCTACTTAATTTTGCACATTTTTCACAACAATACTCAAATTTCCAATTTATGTTTCCCAACTGAATTCTTGTCATAAAATGTTGCCATAATGAGAAATGTGAGGTTTGTGTTTGGATTTTTTGAAGAAATAAAATCTAAACACTTTGGGCTGAAATCAAGACTCTCATTGAACAAGGTTAATTTATGACTTCATAGTAAACCACATGTTATGTCACGAGAGTTTTTGCTTTCATACTCAAATGAAATGCATTTCTGCTGGTAATGTTCATATAGTGGGTTGTAGGGCAAATGCAAATATAAATCTCTGCAGTTAACGCACACATTTTTCAAATTCAAAGCAAATCAATATTTCATTTAAAGGGAAACGCTTGTTCACACATTTTTTATATGTTTGATATCTTTTCCATAAAAAGGTAAAAGTGTTAACTTATGAGAAACTGGTGCTGGATAATGTTAATGACCCAGACTGTTATATGCTATCCAGCTGTAGGAAAGGATACAAACAGAAGAAAGCCGACATGTGAAACACTGGTGCTACAGGTTTGACGTCTAACTGATTTCAATTAATTATTTATTTTTAATTTTTAGGAAGCACAAGAAGAGAGCCCTGAGGAAAAGAAGGAAGAAGTGGACATTGACCTGGAGGATCCCGAGGTAGCCAAAGCAGCCACCAAGATTCAGGCTGGATTCCGTGGTCATAAGACGAGAAAAGAGCTGAAGGTATGTACCGGACATTATAAACTACTGACACGTTTATTGTTGTTGTACAATTAAGTCACTTTCTATACATAAGTATCCATACTCCGATTGCTCTTACAATGTCACATTCATGAGGATTTTAAATCGTTAAAAAAGGTATGATTTAATATAATTAGATATATAATAATCATTTCTCCCTTGAGGACACACTTGAACTCTTCCAATCCAAAGGTTGAAATAGTTCATTATGAAATTTCAGGGGTGAATGCTTAAAGTGACTTAAGGCTGTATGCTACCTTATTGTGACATGCATATACCTTATAAAAATGTTCCACATGGGGAGAAATCTATATAAAAGATTTTTATATGACTGATGATTTGGAGTTTGTAAGGGTCACATAATTGTTTTGTCAATTTAAATGCTACATGGAGATATATTAAACTTAAGGTAGATAACTCCAATACAAATCACAGTGTATACAGTGTAATGTAGTATGTATCAGAGTGATTCCATTTGATAATTTTGATAAAAAAAAGAAGATAAAAAACATGTTTTCCCTGATTTATTTCAAGATTTCTACTCTTCGATATACATTTGATTCACTCAATACAAACATTGAGATTCAGAATGGTGAAAAACTTGTCAGCCTTTCCAAATTTTCTTAAATGTCATATACAAATTGACAGATACGATATCATGGTAATTTCGATAAGTGTTATGTATAGGGGAGCTATTGTGGAAAGTGTCGCCACAAATCTGTAAAATCCAATAACTGTGAAATAAACTTCAAATTCACCAAAACCACAGGGAACGACAGAGACATCTGGTGAGGAACAGGCTGGAGTATCTGATACAGGGGAGGTAACTGAAGAAAAATCAGATGAAACTAAAGTAAATGAGATTCCGGAACAAAACACTGATGAAAATAAACAGGAAATATCTGATGAAAAATTAGATGAAAAAGTTGGTGAAACTGAAGAAACCACTGAACAAAAATCTGAAGAAAAATCAGATGAAGTTTCTGAACAAAAAACTGATGAAGTTTCTGAACAAAAAACTGATGAAGTATCTGAACAAAAAACTGATGAAGTATCAGATGAAAAAGTAGATGAGGTCAAAGAACAAACCTCTGATGAAAAAGTAGAGGAGTCCCAAACAGAGGAAAAGTCAGAGGAGAAAGTTGATGAGAACCAGTTAGAACAAACTTCACAAGAAATTGTTAAGGAAACGGTAGATCAAGCTCAATCTGAGGAAAAAGTAGACAAAAATGTATCAGATACTCCGGCCGATAAAACAACAGATGAAAAATCAGAGGAGAAAGTTGAGGAAAGTCCTTCGACACAGACTGAAGAACAAAACGAACAGGTGACACAGTCGTAGTGTTATAACTAGTTAGAGAACCTATTGCTCTCTGTCCAATACAAACCGTACATACACATTCAGTATTAACTGTTGCTCCAGTACTCCGGGGTAGCTCAGTGTTCTCCAGGCTGCATGATAGACACAAGGTTATTTTACAGGCACTTGGCAAAATTTATTTCTCTAAAATTACAGGACGTGGGCTTATTTATGAAATGGATTCATCCCTCCTTTAAACTGTTCAATTTGGGGTAGACTTATTTCTGAAATGGATTCATCTCTCATTAAATTTGTTCAAAAAGTGGTGGGCTTATTTCTGAAATGGATTCATCCCTGCGTTAAACTGTTCAATTTGGGGTAGACTTATTTCTGAAATGGATTCATCCCTCATCAAACCTGTTCAAAAAGGGACGGGCTTATTTATGATGATTGGATGCCTTCACTGGCCTCATTGAAATATATAAATTAAATAAGAGGTAAATCTAGGAATCCCAAACCTTTCATTCTGTTTTTAAGAATATTGCTCCAGGAGAAAAAAGAAATCAATAAATTTAAGGGGCATTTGGCAAAACTAATTCATCCTAACCTTCAGGGGCTCCAGGCCTTATCAAAGAGCATGGACTTACCTTCAGTAGAATCTGGTAAGCATAAATGGGTTACTTTATCACTGAACAAATATAAGGGGGGTTACAGGGCTAATTAACTAGCATTGTATTCTCTCTCTGGAATATAAAGTCCCCTATTCCGTCTTTTCGTATTGCAGAGTTATCTGCTCTTGTGAGCAGGTATTGATTGTTACGTCATTAGATTGTGTGAGAAAATTGTCGTTTTCTCGAACAATTTTGACGTTACTCTCACAAACAAATGACGTAACAATCAATACCTGCTCACAAGAGCAGATAACTCTGCAATACGAAAAGACGGAATAAAATGATATTTTATTTAACTTCAGTAGAATGCGGTTAGTGTAAAGGGGTTGCTTTATTACTGAACAAAGGTTGAAGGAAAATACAGTACAGTAAAACCTCAGTATAAATTATAATGTCTATCATTTCATTTGCCACCAACATATTTCAAGGACCCTTTTCTGGTTTTGTTAAGAATTCCATTTATATGTTTTCCTCAGTGTATCGCCACACCCCTTAATAACACCAACATTTCTAAGGGCAAATGGTGGCAGTATAACAAAGTTTTACTGTACATCTACAGAAAATTATCCTGTGATCTAATGTGTAGCATGCACCTGGATTAAACTGACACTATTTTTCGCTCTTTCCCTTAAATCAATATGTATCTTTCCTCTATATGTTAAAGTACTATATTCCTTATAATACAATAATGGGCCAGGTTGAGAGTAGATATTGGAAAGCTATTAGGGGCTGTAGTGTATTCTTATTATCTATCTAGACAATAGGCCTGCTATTATTTTAGAAATTTTAAAGTAGCATTTTATGTAACTGGTGGCGAAAAAACACATACCGGTACTATTGTTCAAATATTTTTATTGTCAAATTTAAGATTTTTTTTATCACTTTTTTAAAAACTTTATTTGTCCATTTTATTTTAATTTGAGGTCAAAGGAATGCTTTTTTACATATCTTATAATATTAAACACAATAAAGATAAATTAACAATGGTGCTGATGGATATTTCAGATCATTATCCAGCTATCAAAAGAGATGTTGAAGAAATCGTAAAAGAATCAATTTAACCCTTTCACCACTGTATACCATAATGGACACATCCATATCAATGCATGGAAGAGCCTACTTAAGTAACATAGGGGTGAAAGGGTTAAACACTGATGTCTAAATTCACGGAGAGCACAAAAAAAAATAAAAAATGCTTTCAGTAATAATTTCATGTTGGCACTAGCTATTTTGTGCATAACATTTTCCTAAAACAGAAAGTTGTTCCCTTGATTTTTTTTGATTTTTTTTGTCAATTTGGTATAAAAACCATGAAAAATGAATTATTTCTGTATGGACAAGCACAGTTTGTAAGAAAGGAGCCTATTTAGTTGCTAGATGCCAGTTGATCAGAACTTTTTTAGGAATTTTCTTACAAATAATAGATTTTTTTCGTTAGATAATAAAAATACTAACACATTTGTCGACAAATTTTCTTGTAAAAGATTTGATATACCATACACACCAATATATAGAAGTGAACCATGTAACAACACTGCTTTTCATATCTTCCCCGCTCGTGTATATTTTATCCCTCACTTTTCTTCGAAAAAGTTGGGTAATTTGGATGTGTTCATTTGTCTATCCGTCCGTCCGTCCGTCCGTTTGTCACACTTAAGTTTCCGTCCAATTCTTCCCCAAAAATGGTCAGATTTCAATCAAATTTCATAGGTATATTTCAATTGTAATTTCATAGCCAAAATTTGATGCTTTGTTATTTTCATGTAATAAACGAGGCCTAAGGCTTGATTCTGATTAGTGAATTGGTTGCCATTCAATAATTTACCTATGAAATGGTCCAAATTAACCAAATGTGGTATGGAGGTCCGTGTTCTAGTATGAACAATATCATACTGTACATTTACACCAAATCTCAAAAATGGACCATAGCTACATCATCGTCCTAAAAGTCGCAGATATAAATTATACATATACCGGTATGCTTGTTTGTATATATATATAGACTCTGATACTGTATTATATTTGAAACAAATATCAACCTTGCTTGTTTCAATTATAGAAATCTGTACTAAATGTGTGCAATCTAGTAGAACTACTAACAAAATCTCTACTTTTTAAAGTGTTCATCATTTCAATTAATTTCATAAATATTCTATCAAATATTTCAAAAACCAACAGGCTAATGATCTGTGTATATTTTGTTCTTATTGATTAAATTATGTTGTACATGTACTTGCAGATGGTAAATTGATTCAATAAAACATTTATTGTTGTAAATAACACGGAACAGAATATAAATTGATGCATTTGGCTGCCATTACATGTTTTATTTCAGTGTTTAGATTACAGCTGCCGAACATATCACCAAGGATACCAGACCCTGTGAATAATACGATTTCTTTTCCTAGGTTCCACTTCTTTGTTGACTTAGCGATCTATTATCTGGTATTGTGATCCACTGTCCTGTTGAATTGTAATGATCTTGTTTGCAGCGGCAGATTTTCAAATATGGTGACGGGGGTACAGAAAGTTTGGGGAGGGGTGGAAGGTGGAGGTATTCGACCATGTTTCTGTTGGTTGTTATTAGACCTGTGGAGACAAGTGTATGGGATGGATCGCTTTAATATCCAATCTCAGAGTAAAAACAGTCTTCAAGGGCATGTCTAAAGCCAGAGTTCCAAAATCACTACTAACTTAATTTGTACTGTGGTGACGCCACAGCTGATCAATGCCTAGCTTAACCCTGACATATACATACATCTATCCATCTGATTAGCACCAGAAAGCACCAAGAACAATGATTTATCACACAATAAAAAGGTGAAACTCTGTTTCAACATTTCTCAATTTTTCGTTGAAATAAGAAGTGTTTTTATAAACATATCCGTATTGGAATTTATTTGTTTAGATAGAGATACATTTTTGCAAAAAATACTGTTATATTTTAATATAAATTTATCATTTATGGCCAAAAATCACAAACTACTGTTAGAGATTCACTAAATGATGCTAGACATACAGGACAGAATTTGTAACTAGTGATCATATATTTTGCTTTGTACAGGAAATTCCATTACTGAATTTCCACAAATCTCTAAAACTCTGACTTTGACTCTGTTCATCACATGGATTACTATATACATGTAGCACCTAGCAACACAGATGTAGTTGAAATAATAGAAACACATTTCTCTTGTAGGAAAGAATGGCTTTTATTGGAATTATTTTCAGAACAGGATTTATGCTAGGTATTTTTGTCCACCGTCTACTAAGGTGCATGCAGCTTTTTGTAATTATATTGAAATATTAGAAATTACCAATAAATCAATTGATACGATATTTAAAACAAAATCCTCCACCAAACCGAATACTAATGATTTACTGCCCAGATTTATATGACAAACATTGTTTCTAGTGTATACGCACACATTGTGGATACCGCTGGGAATGCCAACAAAGTTTATATTTAATGCAAACATCCATTGGAATTACCCCAATTCTGTATCAACTTTTTACAGTCTAGCGAGGACGCTCCAAAGTCTGAGACAGAGAACGCGGAGCCAGAAAAGATAGACATTGATTTAAATGACCCTGAGGTAGCAAAAGCTGCTACAAAAATTCAGGCAGGATTTAAGGGCTATAAGACCCGTAAAGAAATGAACGGAAAACAGGTTTGAATGCTATTTGAATACTTTCGTTCTTGCATGTTTCCTTTTATTTACATTGTAACATTTACATGGTAGCTTTTCTTCCCTAAAATCTAATGATGTAACGTAATCTGGATTAGCATGTCAACCCTTTAAACATGGCTCCAATTTCTGAGGAAAAAACTCTATTTATTTTGGAATTAATAATCCTGAAAAAGAGGTAATATTTTTTTAATTTTTGAAAACTGACATGTTGAAATATTTTTTAAGAACACCTTTTCAGACTTAAGTTTGCTGAGGTAAACATTTTCACTAGTTTCCTCAAATTGAGAGAAAAATAATCCTGCTAATTGATGAAAGTTAATTAACATGATTTTTTTTTCTAGAACTGATGCATTTTGTATTTGCATTTTTTTCTTTCTGAAGTAAATTCAAACAAAAATACTTTACCTATGTAAGAATATGTAAAATTTCTTCTGAAAATCAAATTTCAAATTAATGCTCTTGATATACAATTGTATTCAAATTAAAAAATAATCACTTTTAAAAGTCTTATGATGCTGTGTCAGATCTATTTTTTTTTTTATTTTTTTTTTAATTAAAAGTAGAAAAGTGCAATCAAAGGCAAACATGAAAATTAACACAAGTCGGAGCTTTTTCTTGTTGAGAAACTGGAGTCAATGAAATAAAAAGACCAGTTGTTCAGATAAAAAAAAAATAAAAAAAATCTTTGTTTAGAAATTTTAGAAATTGTAAGATTGTTAATAACAGCTTTTTCAGAAGAAGAAGGAAAAGATGTCAAATATTTCATTTAAAATTTGGAAATTTATTGAGTTGGACATTAAGCATTCTGATATGATGAGAGAAAAAGAATATTTTAAAACTCCTTAGAAATTTCAAATTTGGACAACTGAGTGGAATACTAAACAGAAATGTGAATTGATCTGGAGTTGTATTTAGTTTAGACTAACCTGTGTCTCTGATGTGAACTTAGCAAGCATGAATCAGTGTAAACCCAGTACTGAAAGAAAATTAAGGCCTCAACAAAATAAATTGTGTGTTTCAGATTAAGACTAAAGTCATGATATTTGAAAACAGAAAACAAATTGAAAGTATGATTAAGTAAACGAACCTGACGCACACAATCTTTATTTTTAGCCTTGTAGTTTACTTTCAATTTCTCCTGTCTAGTCGACTTGATTTTTGAAAGTATTGTTCATTGAATATACAACAGTGCTGCACAGTCAGAAATAATTTATACTCTTGTCAAGTCCTCTTAGAAAAAAATAATACTGTATGAAAATTTCATTGGATAAAAGGTCATTGTCTAAGATTAGTAAAGACATACAAAGGTCAACAGAGATGATAAAGGACGAAAACGATGCTGCAACAAGGCAGTGGATTATATATACTTAGAAGTCATTGTAAGTTAGGTAGTCTGGTGTAGATCAGGACTGTGACTGTGAAACAAGTAGTCTGGTGTAGATCATACCTGTGAGACTGATGGTATGATGAGGTATTGTAAAACTGTGGACAATATTCAGTGTACAATTACCCAAACCAAAGTCCATAAGACGGTAGGTGTTAACTAGACTAAAATAAGGCTGACCTATAATACACGCAAATTCTTTGATAACTTCAGGTATTTAGGACTCTCACAAAATGTCAGTATGTGTATGACTTAAAATACAATTTTTATGTCAATTTTTGTTATATACCTTATATACTACAGTGGTTTCAGTTAAAATACAATACTAATAGTTTTAAGCTTAATATGGCCATACGTTTCACCAATTAAGACAATACTGTACTCGTAATATCTAGTTTTTGGGTTTGTAAAAGAATATCTTCACATAGTTTTGTTATTCCAAAGTCTGAAGTGATTCAGAACCGTTCCCCATCACACTGGTAATTTAACACGAAATGTAAAAATACTGACTACGCCTTGACTTGTCTGTTAAATAAAATCATCACAAGAGTATAGTGTCTATTTACCACTTTTACATTACGGTAGCCTGGATATAATCATAAACATGGAAGGAAATTTAAAGGCTTTAACCTTTTCACCCCTATGTAACTTTAGTAGACTCTACCATGCATTGATATGGATGAGTCCATAGTGGTCTACAGTGGTGAAAGGGTTAAATCCCATTTTTTCTGAACTAAAATTCATCGTACTTTACCACCCCACTTAGTCAGGTTGAGTGTGTGTTAACGTGTTGCATGTTGTTTGGGAAAAAAAAACGTAGTAGTTCTAATTATGTTTGTGAGGTTTTGGTTTCTCTGTAAAAGATGCATGCAATACTTTGGTGTTTATCTAATGCTACTTGTACTGAGGTTCATGAACATTTTGATTATTTTTATTATACATACTAATTATTACATATATATATTTATGTTTTGAGGTTGATTCTTGGAGATAATTAAATATTCCTAAAATTTCAATATATTTTAAGCAGTGTTTTGAACTCAAAATCAGAACTTAATTATGTTGACTTGTAGTAAATTATATATGTCACTTTCTACAATTTTACATCTTCATTTGTCGAATTTTTTTTATTGAAGTTTTATATTATTGATGGATTAAATGATAATTAAATGCTGTAAGATCTTCAGTGATCTTACATTCATACAACACTGTAGTAATACTTGTGTGTCATTTTATTTTAGTTTACAAACTTTTTGAATTAGAAATGTTCTTTTTTCAGTTTGCTGTTGGGATATTGAAACTATTTTTGTCATACAGAATAATTATGGGTTTTTTTCAGAAACAACCTGGACGACAATTTCTAATTTAAAGTAAAACTGTTTTCACAATTTCAGTGATTTATAAAGATTTGTTTAACAGGAACTGGCCAGTGTATTATAAAACACTGAGACAGCTGTTGAGTGGGCTGTATAAGTCGTGTCCCAGTGCTTACCATTACAGTCTGGAGTCAGTATCTTGTGTTTTCATCCATATATAGACATACAGTGTATCTGTCCCATTATTGTTGGTATATTGGTTGAATATTTCACTGATGTTTAAAAATGTACTCGTAAAAATCTGTCCCTCAAGCAACCTCCTCATCCACCTTCCCATCCCTTCTCCTTCAATCAATGCATAGTTTCCGCTTTGATTCATTCCACTTAAGCTAACAAAAACCTTGTTCGTTAATCATTTTCATTGGTGTGAAATCTCGATCCAAAATGCTGCAAACAGGATCTTAATTTTTTTGGTGCAATTAATTCTCATTGTCCAGTTAGTTTTGAAATTGAAGTGATTAATATAAGTTGAAATATAAATAAGATTTATATTTATTTTAAAATCCATACAATTAATTCACATAAGCTAGCTTTTAGTACAAGAAGGTAAAACATGTATGTTTTAATATCATCTCAAATGTTTACGAGCAGTCCTAGACACATTTTATTTTGTGTCAATCATTTCATCCCTGAGCGTAAAAAAACAAGTATACTCGGTAGTCTACAGAGATTTTCATACCAATCATTTCATGTGCTAAACAGGATATGATAATGTCAGTGATTTGTGCTATCGGTCGGAGCACTAATACTGCAATAATGCTACGGGAAGTAGCTGATGATATGTGGGGCTGATGGAAATCCTTCCTGATGGCTGATGTACTTATAACATGTAGATATAATCAGATGATCAATTTGGCAGACATCTCAGACCCAAGTGACTGTTTTTTGTCCACCAGATTGCTGCGTATGAACAGGGGTATGATCAGTTGTGATGGTGTTTCTGTGTATCACATATATTGGCACCGTCTGATATCCCCGATTGTCTGTCAATGTTTTCCTATAGCCAATATCCTAAAGCAATCCTGTAGGTATACACATCTCTCACTCAGACATTGTCAATGAAAGACGTGTTAACTTTTAAGATATGTCATAATTCCGGCGCAATTGTCTTCGGATATTGTTACATATTGACACAACATTCTTACAATGTCTGCACAAAACCACGGGCCAGTCAATCAACATGATACTTTTATTCCAGCCACTATCTGATAAGGACTCCAGAACGTCCGGGCTCGACAAGTGTGATACAGACGACATTGATTTTAATGACCCCGACGTGGCCAAGGCAGCCACGAAAATTCAAGCTAATTTCAAAGGTCATCAAGTGCGCAAAGAAATTCGTAAAAACCAGGTTCGCATTGCACGTTAGAAATGCATTTGTTCATCTTTGGTGACTTGTGATATTTTTACTTGTGACTTGTGGTATTTTTACTTGTGACTTGTGATATTTTTACTTGTGACTTGTGGTATTTTTAATTTCCGTGCTGGTTTTGATGCAACAGCTTTAAGCTGAACTAGACTTTTTATTCACGTTTTTATATTGTTTTGTTCACAATGGTCATTGTTCACTTCAATTGTAAACACAAAAGTTGGTTGCAAGTTTTTACAAAAAATCTGTTTTTGATTTTCTTGGGGCTGAAGGAACGAGATATGTCTGCTTAAGCCCTATAATACTGACAGGTATGACAGGTAAAATATGTCCTTGTTATAATCTACTAGAATGTTTTCAAGTGGCATTGTTTTTCTGTAAAAATGCACTTCATTAAACAATCTTATCCTTTAAATTTTATTGGATCGGAACTGGTTTGTGATCCTGGCTCCTCACTGCCCTGGTTTGTGATCCTGGCTCTTCACTGCCCTGGTTTGTGATCCTTGGTCTTCACTGCCCTTGTGTATGTGATCCTGGCACTTCCACTGCCTTGGTTTGTGATCCTGGCTCTTCACTGCCCTGGTTTGTGATCCTGGCTTTCCACTGCCCTGGTTTGTGATTCTGGCTATCCACTGCCCTAGTTTATGTGATCCAGGCTCTTCACTGCCCTGGTTTGTGATCCTGGCTCTTCACTGCTCTGGCTTGTGATCCTGGCTCTCCACTGCCCTGGTTTGTGATTGTGGCTCTCCACTGCCCTGGTGTTTGTGATCCTGGCACTCCACTGCCCTGGTTTGTTATTCTGGCTCCTCAATGCCCTGGTTTGTGATTGTGGCTCCGCACTGCCCTGGTTTGTGATCCTGGCTCTCCACTGCCCTGATTTGTGATTGTGGCTCTCCACTGCCCTGGTTTGTGATCCTGGCTCCTCACTGCCCTGGTTTGTGATTCTGGCTCCACACTGCCCTGGTTTGTGATCCTGGCTCTTCACTTCCCTGGTTTGTGATCCTGTCTCTCCACTGCCCTGGTTTGTGATCCTGGCTTTCCACTGCCCTGGTTTGTGATCCTAGCTCTCCACTGCCCTGGTTTGTGATCCTAGCTCTCCACTGCCCTGGTTTTTGATCCTAGCTCTCCACTGCCCTGGTTTTTGATCCTGACTCTTTGCTGTCCTGGTTTATAAATTAAGCATAGCTCTGTATCTGTGGGCCTGTCAAATCAATAACTGTTATACCTATCGTAGTCTATTTGTCAGTTACAAGTCTGGCCTGTGTGACCTCCGACTCTTGGTGTTTCCTTGGTGTTGCCTAACAGCGGTCTTTATAAGAAGACCTATGGAAGTTACAGGTAACCCACATTGTAAAGGACAATGATTGTGGGGTGGTGTATACTAGGTAAGAGGTGTTCCATCAGGTTCCTTATACCCAGGCATTATAGGGAGTTGAATCAGATTGTAGGGGGATGATGAATCGGAGTTGAGACTATTGAATGAGACTTTAGGGAGTTGAATCAGATTGTAGGGGGATGATGAATTGGAGTTGAGACTATTGAATGAGACTTTAGGGAGTTGAATCAGATTTTAGGGGGATGATGAATCGGAGTTGAGACTATTGAATGAGACTTTAGGGTGTTGAACCAAATTGTAGGGGGTGTAAAATCAGGTTATAGGGAGTTGAAAATTGTGGGGTTGTTGAATCAGATAAAATAATTCTGAAACAGATTTTAGAGTGTTGAACCAAATTCTAGGGTATTGACCCAGATTTGTGAGTGTGGAATCAGATTGTGGGTGCTGAAACAGATGAGGTAGCTTTATCGGATACCAGATTGAAGGATGTTGAACAAGTTTCAGTTTTATTACCAGGAAAGAGGTTGTTGAATCAGATTGGCTTTGGTTGAAAAACAAAACTGTTTCAACTAGATTAGAGGTATTTAAACTAAGATTTGCAGATGTTGTACAAGATTGGAATTAATGTTAAAACAAATTTTATGATTAAAGTTGAATGAGAATTTGAAGTAAACTGGATTGAAAGACAATTTAATCAAATGTTTTTATGGGAAAACGTCTGTCCTTGAATTGAAATCTGAATTATCCTTGTTGAAACCTATTTAATCCTTCTCTCTTTAGCATGTTACTATAGTATTGGATGTTACGCCACATCCGTAGGACCAACAGGAATGTATTACATCATATTAGCGTTTACATCCTTGCAGATCTACGCTGAGTTTGCCCCTAAGCACCTCGGTGTTAGAGATACTGAGGTGGGGATGTTTTATTGTGCGTGGCGTCACTGTTTTGTATCACCACCGGGAATTGGAGTCTTTGATTTGCTGTAGATCTCATTAGTAGCTATGTTGTACCGCTCGACTAGATCTGTTCTTGTGTTGTGGTGTGATAGACGTTTCATGTCGACAGACAATCCTGACGTCGTGTCGGTTACAAATGTTATGTTGGTTGATTGTTACCGAGTAATTTAGTGTTGAAGGTTTTATAGTTAGGGAACATGAACCAGGATTAAAATATAATCCTGTACAACTCTGATGTTTCTTTTATTGAGAACAAGCAAAATGTATAGTGTCTCTGCATGTATCTGTCACAACGGAGCGCTACATTAGCTGAGAATATCTGTATCTGGATTCAATAGCTATGTGAGAGTCTGAGCCAGGGGGGAAAGGCACATTTGAGGTACACTTTTTGGCATGCCTTAGGTACATTTTTGGTAACAAAGAAAAATAGGACAAAATAGGAGGGTGTTAAAACCTGTTCAATATAGGTACATTTGAGGCACATTTTAGGCACATCTAAAAAATCTTGAGCGTCCAAATGGGGCACATTTGAGGTATACCTTGAGAGTGCTAAAAAAAATGGGGCACATTTTAGGTATACCTTAAAAGTACCTACAGTCAAAGGTACATTTTAGGTAGCTTTTAGGCACAAAAAGGCATGCCCCAAAGTACCTTTTTTTAACCTTCTTTGACACACAATCCTGGTATTAGCCGAGTTGAGGAAATGTCTCCTGGTTAAGAAGATGTGTCAAATTCAAAACAAAAGACAGACACTTTTTGAGTTTTTTTTTTTATATTGTCACTTCTAGGTTTTGACAGCTGAGAAATGTCAGTAAAACACATAATCAGTTAATGTCTAACTTAAGGATCCCCCCATACTACTGCTAAAACGTGTATCTAAGTATTGGAAACTGTCTGTTACAGCACCAATAAAGCTTTGATAAAGCATTTCTGAAAAGAAACCCATACCTTGTGGGACTTTTTTAAGAAATAATTAAGACGAAATATAAAAATATAATGAACAACAGTGTTCCGAGTGTAAAAATTTAGCGGGGCTTGACCAAGATTTTTACCCCGGACATAGATATGTATACCGTCATTCTAGCTTGTTCAGCTACCTGGTCAATGAAAGTGTCCTGGCCAAACAGTGCTACAGTTATATGTAGTCAAATGAAAGTTAAGGGGAGGTAACTGTACATCTACAAACCCATAGTGCAGTGGAACTGTTGTACAGGGAGCCTTACTATCAAGTTTCTTCTGACAAATGAAAGGTGATATAAAGCAGAATTCACTGAATTTATCTGCATGGTCATTGATTTAGTAAGAAACTTGGTACCTATTCACTAAAGTATAGCTATTTCTATCAGTATCTGAAGATATTCTCTGTTCCTTACAGCTAAAGTTGATGTGTTGGCCACTTCAGGCTGATGTGTCTGGCTATATAGCTGCTAGGGGTCAGATGTTGTCCAGTTTCCAGCAGTGTCCCTATATATGGAAGGAGACGTTAATCTGTAGCCCCAGGGATCGTTCATGTTCTGTATGACATTCTCTATTTCAGCTCTGGATGTCCTGATGCTGGAAATCTTTGGTTATTCGCGTTCTTGTTTTGTCAGTAGAAATGTATGTATTCACAGGATTTGTCTGAAGTGACCATCATCATAACAGATTTAACATTTCAATCCAAAATGCTATCATAACTATTGGCAAAGGCTGATACAGAATAAGTGTACAATTCTTCAACACTATTATAGTTTATAATAGACGATTTTAGGATGTTGTTGTCTACACATTTTAAAGATGCGAAATATCAATTTTTGGGGGGATTTTTTTAATTCTTTCAATTAAATCAATGTTAGCATCTGTATGAGGATACCATCCTTGTAATGTCAATTCTAACAAAAGTGATATTACCACTTCAGCTTTATACTGTCAGATCTCTGCCTATTTTCTGTAGGTTAAAAAGGTTCATATTGTACTAGACTCTTTCATGCCCAGGGGTGTTGAATTGAATTAAAATTAAGGATAACTGGGAAATTCCACCCGAGCGTTTTTCAAATTTGGTAAAACCTGAGCTTTCGTTGAAAATCCGGATTGTAGAATTTCCTACTCTACACCCTTAGGCATGAAAGAGCATTTTTCTCTAATTCCAACTACCAGATTAAGCTCAGAAACCTTGAAAAGGAGTTAATAGACTGGCTATATCAACCAACTGAATCGGGGTGTAAGATAGAAATGTCTTACATACTTCACAGGGTGATCCCATTGTTGCTAGGGAAAAGATAACTCTATCTTACACGGGGTTGGGAAAGACAGCTGACACACGCTATGACATCATAATAATGGATTGTCGACGTGACGTCATTTTATTGTTTCCGTGATGTCATACATTCGTTGTGAATGGGGAATCATCCGTCTCAACCCTAGGGCTTTAGGGTTTGCCGGAGGAATAAGATTGATGTTTATTTCGACTGAAATTTGTTTATTTGTATGTATGTGAGAAAACTAATCAAACATGGGTCTGTTCCATAGACAAGGATATCTCAACCCTCTTGTAAGGCCAGCCAAACTCTTACGCTCGGGTTGAGATATCCCTGTCCACGGAACAGACCCATGTAAGAGTCTAGTATTCCTACACCCCTTTCTTATCCTGGACAGCTCTACTTACACACTTGGAATGAGAGAAAAATATTTAAGTTGAATCATATAAAAATGTTGTTCAGTGTGATTGAGACTGTCAGATCCACGGGTGTAGTAGTAGTATAGATATAGTGGTTACACGGAGGTGTTCTGCCTGCACTCTGATGGAGAAGCTTGCCTGCTTGTGATGTTTTTTTGTGTGTGCCTATTTCTGTGACATTTCCTCACGTTATTCTTCCCCGCGGTACAATTTAACATTCATACTGTCGTCACGACTAAACCATCTAAGTTCACTCGGTTTACACTCTCGGCTCGGGGTTTTCATCAAGTTTTCTTTAAAATGTGTACCATCGTTATTTTACACAAAGTCACGTAATGTTGTGGATTGTGTTTTTTCAATTCGATGTAATGTGTGATTGATTACTGTTTCGAAAATATCCCAGTTTTGATTTATAATTTATCTAGTCTTTTCCTGCAGTTTCAAAATGTCTTTAAAATTTTATTAAAATCATCTAAATTGATATATATTAAGATTACCCATTGACATCCAATGTACATGATATATCATATACAGTTTGTACTTGGGCTTACGCATCATATACCCTATGAATGCAATTATATCTGGCAATGCTTTTAGAGTAATTTTCAGTGGGAATGTAAAGATATGAGTACATTGTATGTACTTCCAAGGTTGATTAACACAAAGTTTCCAATTTTTACAACATTTCAAATACCATTATTGATTATTAAAATTCCCGATAATCAATGATTACTAGTAATTACTGTTCTACCTGTGTTATAATTCTTAAGACCTCTTCTGGGTCAAACACGATTATCACTTCTATATATAAAACACTACATGTCTGTTTATATAATTATAATCTATATATACATGACAAAATCAAACACAGATATTAACTCATTCATCCCTGAAGACACATTTGAACTCTCCCAATCAAAGATGGGAATAGTTCATTATGAAACTTCAAGGGTGAATGAGTTAATATATCTAATACGACTAAGTCTAAAATGATTATTACTAGTAGATATACGTGTCTGCGTGGAACACTAGTAACGTCGGGTACTAGTAGAAGACGACGGTCGTTTGAAGCTGTGAGGTCCGTGTTTTTTTGACGTTGTAGTGACTACGACTAAGATCAATATCTCACAAGCCTGGGAGTGTCTGTGTAAAGATAGTATACTTGTATTACAGTCGGCTCCCGAGACCGACAGGGGACACACCGACATCCACTGCAGTGACGATAAACATGTAATGGACGATGACAACAACGAAATAGACATTGATTTGTCCGACCCCGAGGTGGAGAAGGCCGCCACTAAAATTCAGGCCGGGTATAAGGGTCTGAAAACGAGGAGGGAACTCAAATCAATCCAGGTTTGATGGCACATGCAGTTTTCGTCATTTTTGTTTCCTTTTTTTCAGTACTTTATATTTAGATTTAGATTCACAACTTTTCAGTTTCAGAAAAATGGATAAAGATCACTATACCTTTCTGTGAATCTCACCTTCTCATGTATTTTGTTTTTCATCAGATTTTTTCCATCTCATCTGGATTTCAATTTCTGTACAATTTCTACTCCAATCTGTTCTGATTCATTTAAGCATGCTAATGATCTGTGCTTGTCTTTATATTGAGGAGTCTAGATCTTAATTTGCATCAACACTTCCAAGATCTGGATCTGTTCACAATTTTGCATGATCCTAAGGAGCTATTCCTTGTGATGTTTTCTTACAGCTTATACTTAAAAGGAAATAGTTTTGTTGTTCAATGTTATTCAATGGTACACTTTAACGTTGTTACCTATTTCTTTATTATATTTAATTTAGCAACTGACTTATACATGCATTTTCATTTTCTGTAATTTTATTAATAATTATCCAATTTTATTTTTCCATTATCAATTATATGTATCTGTGTTTTATTGACTTTCTGTCAAAACAAATTCTAGAAGTTATTGACTATTTGTTGGCTCTTCTGAAAAACTTAATCATGTGTCTTCATTACTTTGGCCGAGTCGCATAACTACAGTGATTTACATAGATACATGTGTCTTCATTACTTTGGCCGAGTCACAAAACTACAGCGATTTACATAGATACATTTGTCTTCGTTACTTTGGCCGAGTCGCATAACTACAGCGATTTACATAGATACATGTGTCTTCATTACTTTGGCCAAGTCGCATAACTACAGTGATTTACATATAGATACATGTGTCTTCATTACTTTGGCCGAGTCGCATAACTACAGTGATTCACATAGATCTGTGAGAACTGAGTCAAGTTTCCTTTTTACTATATGTACCTTGATTCCTACAGTCTTCATTTGCTCATACAGTCAGATATTCTGGTCCACTTTTCACATTGAAGAATTTACACATTATATAAACTCAATTAAATACAGCACTAGCTGATTGATATCCTCTTTAATTTAGCTGCTGTATTGTTGTCTGTTTAGCTTCTGTAGTTTATGTTATGCACTACCAAGCAGTAACTCTTCATACCATTACAGTCTGTCTGTCAATTTCCTGTGTTGTGTAATTTAATAGAACTCTGTACATGTAATGGTACATCTCTGACGTCATCACATATTGTCTAACACATTCTCATGTGTCACCTATAATTCAATTTTCCTAGTTTATGAAGATTGCAAGGAATTCTTGCAGTGAAGTGACAACTTCTTAAAATTCTTCATGGATAAAACACAAGGTGGCATTATCTAAAAGTGCCCTTCGAGGATTGTCATAATTAAAGGCAAAGTCTCCCATTGAGGAATGTCACATGACCCTGACCCAGCTAGGTCCCCCATTGAGGAATATAACATGATCCTGACCCCAGGTCCCCATTGAGGTATGACACATTACCCCAGGTTCCCAATTGAGAAATGTCACATGACGCCAGGTCCCCATTGTTGAATGTCACATGACCCCAGGTCCCCATTGTTGAATGTCACATGACCCCATGTCTCCATTGCTGAATGTCACATGACCCCATGTCTCCATTGTTGAATGTCACATGACCCCAGGGCTCTATTAAGTAATGTCACATGACCCCATGTCTCCATTGTGGAATGTCTCATGACCCCAGGTCTCTATTAAGTGATGTCACATGACCCCATGTCTCCATTGTGGAATGTCTCATGACCCCAGGTCTCTATTAAGTGATGTCACATGACCCCATGTCTCCATTGATGAATGTCACATGACCCCAGGTCTCCATTGCTGAATGTCACATGACACCAGGTCTCTATTAAGTAATGTCACATGACCCCATGTCTCTATTGTTGAATGTCACATGACCCCAGGTCTCTATTAAGTGATGTCACATGACCCCATGTCTCCATTGTGGAATGTCTCATGACCCCAGGTCTCTATTAAGTGATGTCACATGACCCCATGTCTCCATTGATGAATGTCACATGACCCCAGGTCTCCATTGCTTAATGTCACATGACCCCAGGTCTCCATTGCTTAATGTCACATGACCCCAGGTCTCCATTGCTTAATGTCACATGACCCCAGGTCTCCTTTGTGGAATGTCACATGACGCCAGGTCCCCCATTGAGGAATGTCACATGACCCCAGGTCTCCTTTGTGGAATGTCACATGACGCCAGGTCCCCCATTGAGGAATGTCACATGACCCCAGGTCTCCTTTGTGGAATGTCACATGACCCCAGGTCTCTATTAAGTAATGTCAAATGACCCCATGCAGGTTTCCAGTTATCATTTCCAAAATTTCTTTACCAACAGACCTTATAAAAGAACAAATCTTTCACAATTTAAAATATTTTGTCTTATAATTGAAAGCATCTGCTGCTGTTCTTAGATTCTGTTTCAAACAGGACCTAATTGTGTATGTTGGACTTTTATGGGTAGTTATACAATTTTATGTAGGCACTGTACTTTATTGGGTTTCTCTTTGAATGACGAGCCTCTTTGTTAAATATGTCATCAGTAGATAAATAGTACAATTTCTTCATACATCACTAGATCTAATTGCTGGTCTGTTTTACAACAGTTCCTAATGTATCCGGTAGTAGAGAGTTCATAGGCTGGATTGGTGATCTATTTTTGTGCCCAGTAATTGATGAGTCGTTAAATATGTTCTACACCTGACTCGATCGACATAACATCTATAGTGGCCTAATAAAACGTATTGTTTCACAGATATGGACTGTGCCATTCATCACACGATTAGATCAGCCGTGTCATCCGGCCTCCACAGTTCTACAATGATGTAGAGCAGTATAGTCATACAATACAATATATTAATACCTGATATATAGAGAAATCTATATTTCTGTTTAATACCTGATATATAGAGAAATCTATATTTCTGTTCAATGTTAATGAGTCTTGAAAGAAATCCTCCGAGTTTTTTTAAAAATGTTTTCACTTTTTCTTTCCGTCCAAAAATATATTTCCCCTTATCCAGAGACTGTTCTTTATTTCATAGTAAGGAAGTGTTAATATGTACTTAAGGACGTGTTAATATGTACTTAAAGACGTGTTAATATGTACTTAAGGACGTGTTAATATGTACTTAAGGACGTGTTAATATGTACGTAAGGAAGTGTTAATATGTACGTAAGGACGTGTTAATATGTACTTAAAGACATGTTATTATGTACTTAAAGACGTGTTAATATGTACTTAAGGACCTGTTAATATGTACTTAAAGACGTGTTAATATGTACGTAAGGACGTATTAATATGTACTTAAAGACATGTTATTATGTACTCAAAGACGTGTTAATATGTACTTAAGGACGTGTTAATATGTTTGTAAGGATGTGTTAATATGTACGTAAGGACGTGTTAATATGTACTTAAAGACATGTTATTATGTACTTAAAGACGTGTTAATATGTACTTAAGGACGTGTTAATATGTACTTAAGGACGTGTTAATATGTACGTAAGGACGTGTTAATATGTACGTAAGGACGTGTTAATATGTACGTAAGGACGTGTTAATATGTACTTAAAGACGTGTTAATATGTACTTAAAGACGTGTTAATATGTACTTGTAGACGTGTTAATATGTACGAAAGGACGTGTTAATATGTACGCGTGTTATTGTGTGTGACAGCACTGCGCCGGGTTCCCAAATGTGTACATGTATCACCACGGCGACACGTTTTGTGAAGGAGACACCGTCAAAACACCTGCTTCATTTCCCACCTTTCTGTCACGGTTCTTGATGTTTTACCTTTTGTTTCTGTTTTGTACGAATGTTTTGATTTCGTCCATTGGTGCTGAGGTATATCTTCATTACTTTCCTGATTTTTATATGTTGATGCACTGTACTTGGTTTTGTCAATCCAGTGTTTAAATCAACCCAACAAACTTCCATCTCCCTACTTCAGTTGTCACGACTCCCAATTTACTTTCTAAGCTCTACATCCTCCTTCTCACATTTATTTGAACAGATATTTTTATACGAAAATATCCTTTTGTATCCAAATTGTTCTCCTTCGTTAATTTTTGGTAAGATTTAGTATGTTCTTGTTCCACTAGAGACAGATTGAGTTCAGTTTATATTACCTTGTATACCTGGCTGTTGTTTATAAGGTTTTCTTTATCTATCTAACACTTTACTTCACTGTGAGGCCTATACTCCCAATAGGAGCCCAAATCCACCTCGATACCTGTACGGGACTCGATGGAGAATGTTCCGACGGAAGAGGAAATTATCGACATTGACCTCACTGACCCGGAAGTAGAAAAGGCTGCAGTAAAAATCCAATCGAGTTTCAAGGGATTGAGGGCTCGGAAATCAAAGACAGCATCTGCCGCTAGTACAAGTGTGGAGGTTTGAGTTTATCATTTCTACTTTCACTTGTTTTCGTAGAATTGTTTTGAAGTGTGTTAGTGTTGCTGGATTTATAGATAATGTATCTATTTATGGAACATTACAGCTATGTGTAAATATTACAGTGCATAACTTCATAAAGAATATAACATGTTTAGCCATGCTGTTCAGTGGCCAGGAATATGAAGCGTTGCTTGACTTTTCCTCAATTTTTTCTTACTTTTGAATTGTCCTACTGTTCTGAAGACGGCATACCTTATGATTGTGCCGAAACATGTACGCTACAATATTGCTAATCAACCTTCTGTTGGTTTTGTCTAGCCATTTCCACCTGAGTGTTCCTAGCTATGGTAAAACTGTATCAAATAGCTGTGGAATTGACTGACTTAAGATTTGCCTGTTAGATATTTTTGGACCATATTCTATAAAATCTGGTGCCATTGAAGTAGATTATTCAGTGACCCTGTCTGTCTGAATGAGAACATTGATTGAACCCAACACAACACTTTCCAGTCAAGGTTATAAGGGCATTCATCATGTTAAGGTACTACAGTATACAATATGTGTCGGTCTGGTTTAAGTTTTGAGGAGATATCACAACTCACAATGATAGACCTTGTATTTTATCACTTATTTCAAGCGTCTAACTTTAACGCTCACTATGAGTGAGTAGATTTCCTATATTTGAAGTACAAAATAGCCATTTATATCTTACATACAGGAGATATACATATATATATTTATTTAATAAATCTGGCGATCACCAAACAACACATCTTAACCAAACTTAATTATACCAGGTTTTTGGCTTCCACTGACTTTCACTCTTCAACACTTTTCACGTCATCAAGATAAACATTTGCTACACTATTTTATGTTTCTGTTGTGCTAAGCCCTTTGACAGTAAGAATGATGTAACATTTTGTTCTGATTTTCAAGAGATTTTATCAGAGTTAAAATGACCAGAGAGATAGGAAAGTAGACAAGATCACGTGAACGTTTTTCGTTAAGTCCCCTGAGCATATTGCACTGAACTTCTGAAATACTTTATTTTCCTGCACTCAGCGTTTCATGAAATAATCACTTAATTCCAGTCAGAACCTAGTAACACCACACCACCTTGTCCTCTGTCAGTTAAAACTGAACAACAGGAAGAGATTGATATTGATCTTAATGATCCAGAAGTGGAAAAAGCTGCTGTAAAGATTCAAGCCACGTTTAAAGGTTTGAAGTCTCGGAGGTTTGGTGCAAAAAAGGTAGGAAGGCTGCGCTACCTTTATAGAGACTGCCTTATGGCATTTCACTCCCAACTCAAGTTCAAATGTCAAGGATGCATCGATAATATCTTTAGCTGTTAATTGAAACTCAACTCTGCAAAACAAGGCTGTAAACTAGGAATCTCAAAACTATGAAATAGGGTTAAAACTATGTAACCTTATAAAATTTGTCATAAATATCTGAAGCTAGAAAGTGTGAATCTCCAGACTGCAGATATAGGGTTTTGACACTATGTATATTAGGAAAGTGTCTTTTATATTTTTCCATCATGTGATTTATCTTATCCAATCAGATTTGCTGTTGGATTACTAATTATGTATGATAACAAATGTAAAGGAATTTAATGCACTTTGTATTCATCATTGGTATGCTTTGATTTCGACAATTCACAAGTTGTTTTCCTTTCTGCTTCTCTTTTCACTTTAGTCTTCACCAACTAATAATTTAAATAACATGAAACCAGTCACGCCACCTGTTGACAAAGTTCCTGTTGAAGAAGAAATTGACATTGATTTGAATGATCCTGAAGTTGCAAAAGCAGCACTTAAGATTCAATCAACATTCAAAGGTTTAAAGTCACGAAAGTTTGGCAAAAACAAGGTTTGCACTTGGCTGTTGTGTTTGTGAAAATTTGTGATACAAATAGAAAATATTTAACAGAGGGTTGTCGATTTTACTTCTTCAGTGGGCCATAAGATGGATAACCTTCATTTATTGCAGAAATAATGTTTCAGATTAGGTTATTGCATGAATATTGTGAAATGGGGTTTCATTTTTGGATCAATTGTTCCTGCATAGAAAAATGAGGGGATAAGTTGAAAAAGGGCAATATACATTATGTATTCCTTTTTTTCACGGGGGGGGGGGGGCCCAACATATAGCTTTACCTATGTCCATATTCATCCCTGCCCTGTCCCATCCAGTCACGATTCATTGTCATGACCAACTCATTTCTCAACAGATTTTCATCAAAATTTATTTAAAGATCATGTATCAGAATACCTCCAAAGAGTTTGAATTTCTTTATTTCGTGTTTCCAAGGTCAATGTCAAGGTCAATGTCAAGGTCACGGTTGCTATTTATAGGTTAAGAGGGCTCATTCTGTATAATATCTCGCAGACATTTTCTCATTGTTCTTGTACGTTATATCATATTACCGCATTGATCATACCCAAGTATTTTCTAATATCGCCAGGAAGTCTGTATGACCAATTTGTGTTTATGGGCATCAAGAAACCCTCACTCCTAATGTTTCAATCTTAACACTGTCTAAACAATTATTTGCAGACATCGCAATCTTCTCCTCCAATCAATAATGTCAACCCTACCCCTTCACCTCCGGTAACAGCTCCAGTAGAAGATGAAATAGACATTGATTTAAATGATCCAGAAGTCGCGAAAGCAGCTGTAAAGATACAGTCAACTTTCAAAGGTCTGAAGTCGCGGAAAATAAAGACGAAACAGGTTTGCATTTTGATGTAGAAAGGACGAGGAATTTTAAAAAAAATCAATAATGCTTCATTTGTTATAACCATATATTGATCAATTAAAAGCCAATAATTGTCGTTATTCGAGAGAAACGCTATCAGAATGTTTTAGCATGTTGTTGTCGCTTAGCTGTATTGGAGAATTAATATCAGCAGGCGAGTATGGATATCCTGAACCAACATATACTTTGAGTAAAACTTGGAATGAAAACAATAAATTGTTGCTATATTCTTTAATTGAGAAAAAACGGGAATAAAAATAATGAGTTGTCACAATGCTATCTATAAGCCAGGATTGTATGTGTTCTGAAGTGTCAGTGATTGTTGTGATATATATTGTTTACAGTCGACTCAGTCGCCTCCCTCTAACATCGAACCTTCCCCCCCACCACCAGTCCCTGTCCCCACTGAAGAAGAAGTAGACATTGATTTAAATGATCCTGAAGTTGAAAAGGCAGCCCTAAAAATACAATCTACGTTTAAAGGTTTAAAGTCACGGAAGTTTGGAGCCAAAAAGGTGTTTTTATCTAATGATTTGCCTCTGTACTTTGAAGAACAGATAAAACGTGTGACAAAAAATCTTTTACATAACATTCAGAATTAATGCTGTAAGAGATATTGATATGGACTTGGAAATTACTCTGTTAACTCGAGTAAAATCTTTTTAACCCTTTCACCCCTATGTAACTTTAATAGAATCTACCATGCATTGATATGGATGAGTCCATTATGGTCTACAGTGGTAGAAGGGTTAATGATAAGATTTTATTTTATTAGACATCACAAGTACTGTAATCATATGTGGAGAAAACACATTCTGTAAAAATTTAAAGTTCATTTAAACTAGAATATTCTCATGCCTGTGAAATATTTGTCCTATAATCAAGCTAAGCTTACTTAGGTGTTGATTTCTAGCTGCTGTTGATTAATCTTGCTTGAAAATTTAATTACTAAACGTGTCTCTAGAAACTGTATTGATTTAGACTTTTGTTAATTTAAACAGCAAAAATAACACCAGAAGAATTTTCTCACTTTATTGTATGTTAAATATTTTCTAACGTAATTACAGTCGTCACCCACTAACATCGAAAATGTTTCTCCGCCCGTCCCTCCACCGCCTGTAACTCCCCCTGTCAAAGAAGAAATTGACATTGATCTGAACGACCCAGAAGTCGAAAAAGCAGCTGTGAAAATTCAAGCTACTTTTAAAGGTTTAAAGTCTCGGAAATTCGGATCAAAGAAGGTTTGAATTGTTTTTGTTGAAGAAAATAACTTTCAATACGGGACATTTCGCATTCCGTCTTAGATTTTTTTTACCAAAATAGGAGTGAAGTATAAATGGATTTGTGGGAACCAGTCCAAAAATAAATTAAAAGTAATTATTCAAAACTTACGGAGCAACAAGCAGTGGATTCAGTATTTAAATGGTTGAAATAAATAAAGTTAGTCTAGATGTTATTGGAACAATATTAAGACCAACATAAGTGTGCACACTACTATATATTTTCTGATTTTATTGTGAACTTGATTGCAGTCGTCACCATCTCTAGTTAATAAAATACCAACACCTCCTCCAACAGTCAATATTCCCTCAGAAGAGGAAATTGACATAGATTTAAACGACCCAGAAGTAGAGAAGGCCGCAGTAAAGATCCAAGCAACATTTAAAGGGTTAAAGTCTCGGAAGTTTGGGAAGTCAAAGGTTGGCTATTTAAATGTTGTCTGAGCTACATTCCTCATCCATTCTCCCAGTTAGTGTTTTATTTTGCTCGGAAGGATAAGACATAAGTTGATTACCTGTAAAATTGATTCAATTAACTCATTTACCCCTGAAATTTCAAAATGAATTATTCCGACCTTTGAGTTGGGAGAGTTCAAATGTGTCTTTAGGGGTGAATCAAGATTCTTTGTTAAAAAATTAAATATGATGAGAATGATTTTGATCGAAATGAGGCAACATCATTGGTTATGAGTTGATTTAATTTGTTTCTTGTTTCAAAGTTTAATTAATTAAATAATTACATCATTGGTAATGGTGATTTGAAATTGAAGAGTCATTATCTGTATGATATTTTAAGGATTGAATTAAGATCTTTTGATCTGTAGAAGGTTTTTAGGATTTATTTTAATTTGAATCAGTTCATAAGTAGCAGATCAGAATTAATGTTTTAATGATTAAACAAGATGGCAGAGTAGCCTTAATGGCCATTTATATTTAAGTCATATTTTCTCTTGTTTCTGACAAATACAGACTAAACTAAAAATAGTCGGATAAGGTATGATTGTCTGCCAAGGATATTCATTTACCGTCGCGTACCAGATGTACAAACTGTCTTTTTTATAGCTTCATTACCAATTATTGGTTAATCAAAATATATATATAGCCGAGGAAAAATTTCACTTAAGCAGAAATTTCGGGAATAATTTCTGAGGTCTTTGAGGCCATTCCAATTGTTAAAAATAGCACTGAGACTCCATTGTTTGATTTAAGGGGATTACAGAAGTCTGTAGACTGTTGTCATGTGTTTACTTATGTGTACAAAAGCACAATGACCATCCACAAATCGTGATAATGTTGTTCACACTTACAGCCTGTAGCACCGCTAAAACAGCCTCCGAGTAGCAATCACGTGGACGCTAAATCTTCAGAAGTGGAAGAAATAGATATTGACTTGACAGATCCGGACGTTGAGAAGGCGGCTGTTAAGATTCAGGCTAGCTTTAAAGGCCTCCGGGCAAGAAAAACAAAAAATCAACAGGTTTGAATGACATTTTGTACTTAGCATCGCATGCTGACTGGTCTAGATCTGTTTGCATGGGTGGTGTTGATCCACTCAGGTGGTCACGAATAGAAACCCTGTCATCGTCCGTGTGGTGAGGTAGATCCTGTAGTTATCTCCTACAGAACATCACTCTTATTATAGTGCCCTTGTTTCATCATCATTTTCTATATTTGATTTGGAATGTTGGTATTTGGACGTACCTCAGTTCGCTTTGTAGTTTTCAGATCAATTTGAACTTTGACTGTGACTTGTGACATTTTGTGATGGTGCGTCGTTTTTGTGTTTTCTTTGAAAGATTTATAAATGCCTGGTTACAGTTTAAAAATATCACTGCCTGAAAAATCACTCATTCACATTCTATTTTCAGATTTTTTTTCTCTTTTTACATAAATGGTGTAGGAATACTGAAATAGCTGGATGCATGTTAGATTTATTTGTCTTTCTAGAGATGAATAATTCTTCTTTTTCGTTGACTATTTATTTTTTTCTCAAAATAAAATAACCTTGGAAGCAATCCATTCCCTGTCTTCCAAGATCTTATAAATATGTTTTATAGGACTTTCAAGGAATGGCAGTCTTCAAGTGTCTAAAATGTCTGTGACATCTCTGTGTTTCTGTCCTTGTGTTTTTGCTCTTTGAATGATCACCAAGATACAATGTTGTAAATCAGAACCAAATTTTTACACGTCTGTTTTTCTTGAAAGTGATGTTGTTGATGTTTCCCTGTGAAACGTGTACGTTTGGTGTTAGTGTTCTTTTCATGTAATAAACCATGAAATAAAATTTGAAATAAAATTTGCCAATGTCATATGTACGTATATAAGATCAAAATTAATTATATTGTTACATACATACTTTCAATAAATGTTAAGAAACATTAAGTGAATATGTGTCTAAAATTGTGTTAATTTTCATGTTTATATTTCACTAAATTTTTGTTAGGTTTTAGGAACACCTGTTAGTTCATGATTTTGTTCTTGTATTTTTGTTTATGGCCCACTGAAAATTTAGGTCATTTAGGGCCAAACAAGAAATACATCTCAGATTTATAACAAGATGAAAATTCCCCACTTAGTCAAAAATGATGTAAAATTGAGAATCTTTCGGATTACCGGTAGGTACTTGTTATTATTGATTCCTGATTGACCGATATCACTTTCACTTGACCGATATCACTTTCACTTGACCATATGGTATCTGTGGATGTACCACTGACCGTATGGTACTTGCATGCAGATGTCTGTTGATGTCTTTCTAGGACTGGTAATCTGAAGGTGCTTAGGAACAGCCACACAAAGTGACTGATGCTTACACCCCAACATGTGACCCCGTGACCCTGCACCATGACAGAGTTCATCACTGTCAATTATTGTTGTGTATCAGAATATAAACATCAGTGCCAGTTTCTTCATGTATTGTTAGCTTTACTGGATATACACAAATATATTCAGAATGGATTAATTACAAAAAATGTTTGAAAATATAACAATATTTCATTTTAATTATTTTATCTTAATAATATGTTAATCAATATTCTGACTCAAATATTTTCATTTATAATTTCTGAATTTATAAACATTCTACCTAAACATTTTTTTGTATTTATCATTAAGTTGACTAAACTTTAAGGACAGGACATTGATCAATAGTGAGAGCTAGCACTTGATTGGAGGGGAGGTTCATGGTTCTAGTACTGCTGGGCAGTAAATCAAGGTCTATCAGGAGTAACTCAATACCTATCTATATTAGGTCTCTCAGGAGCCTAATGACCTCTATCTGTACCCTAAATAGAGCTTCATGTCAATCAAACTCTGGCCCTTTAAGGCCCAGTCTGTTTTATTTCATCCCCTTAAAGAGGATTAAGTTAAATGAGAGTATTATAACTGTTTTAGAAGAAGAATAAAAAGTTGTTGATTAAAGTTTTTGAAGACATTTTTCAACATAACTTCAGTTACATGATAAAACTGTTGTTGTTTTTTTGTCACAAAATTAAAAGAAGCCTCAGAGAAAAAAAAACGTTTTTTGCCATTCACTGTAATTTGGATGTTGGATTTTATAAGATATTTGTCATATGGAAGGGGGCCAGAATGTTCATTGACATTTAAATTTGCTTGTTATATACATGAATATAGATTTCTTCTTGCTCAGTAGTTTGTAACCTTTATAAGTGAAGGTAAATTAGATACATCCATACCCAGATTTTTGTAACAGTGAATTATTCTGTCTCATTCACATTTCAAGATTATGTTACACACTTATGCCTGTCTAAGGACTTTGTATGGTCTTGACCCACAAAACGACATCAGATCAACACATGTCACTTTTCATAAGCTAGCGATTTAACCGTTTATTTTTTTCGGTAAATAAATGAAAACCAATCTGGTTTTAGCATTGTACAGTCATCAATCCATGGGTCTAACACAATGTTAGGTTGTCATGGCGACTTAATTGTACAAGCTAGAGACTTGACCATATACACTTTTTTGTAACTGACCACTCCAGATTTGTTAGGAAGACATTTCTTTTCTCAACATTTGTAAAATGGTCATATATATAAGTATGTCTAGTGTTTCATGGAATCCGTACCAATCCGTACCAATCCGTCACACTGCCCCGGGTAATCAGTGTCAGGAAGTATTATTGTAACACTGGACTTGTCTATGGCTAACATACATCATATTGATTTCATAGTTCTTATCCCATTTATATGTTCTCCTGGAAAAAATCCATTGAATCCTAAACATGTCTGTAGCGGACCTGAATTAAGTCGAGTTCCAACTCTTTTTCTGTGTTAAATCTTACACTTGTTTGGTAATTTCTATTCTATTTGGCCGCCCAACCTCTGTAACACGCAGGAGATTGGATATTTCAGCAGGGCAAGTAGCAGCAATATTACCAATGAACCGGGAAATTGTGTGATAGAAGGGATTTCATATGACGATTTCCCTGCCTTGGAAATTTGCCGTAGTTGTGGCAATGCAGGGCCCTTCCTTATCATGGTTCTCTAGTGTGGGGCATCTTGTTGATGTGTGGGGGGGTCATTGGGGCACTGATTAAAGCAGTATTTCACCCCTGAAATTTCTCATAATGAACTATTCCCTCCTTTGAATTGAAAGAGTTTAAATGTGTCTTCAGGGGTGAATGAGTTTAGGAGGTTTCCCATAACTTTTCAATGAAGTAATATTTTTCTGTACTTTTATGTAATGCTGATCCTACTTCTTTATGATGATGAAGCGGGGTCATGGGACAGGTAACATAGGAGGTAAACAATATAGGAATGACTGAGGATGCAACATTTACCCTTGGACATTGACCCCTAGTGGTGTCAGGGTGGGTATTTGGGGGTGTATCCAGTAGTACTCCAATCGTTTCCTTTTTGTGGTGGACTCCAATGTTGTGGGGTCAGTGGGAAGAATTTGAATGATTTGGTATTCTACGACCCCTAGTGAGACTAAGTCCCCTAGTGAGGCTACGTCCCCTAGTGAGACTACATCCCCTAGTGAGTACCCTAGTGAGGCTATGTCCCCTAGTAAGAGTGATTGGAGGATGAGATGGAGTGCCACTGGGCTGTCTTTAGACGGATGTAGACGGATATCTCGTAGATGTTCAGAGATATATGGAATCTAAGTTCTCGTTTGGTTTCCCCAACATATTGTTGTTTACATTGGGAGCAGGAGGGGTGAACATTGGCTCGTCAAGTATTCATCAGTACATTATTGTGTCGGTTCTGATTATCTAAACCCTGACTCTCCAAAGTCTGGATTATTCCGACCTCGATCATGTTCCGAAATATATTACTCAGTTTTAAAACTGTGTCAACCATTATCTGAACAATCGTTTACATGAACCATTTAATTTATGTGTTTGTTTAACCATTTCACCCCTATTTAACGGTAGAAGACTCTACCATGTTTCAATATGGATGAGTCCATTATGGTCTACAGAGGTGAAAGTGTTAATATTGCATTGTTTTATTTAACTGTAGAATATTATAAAACTTCCATGTTTATTCAACAGATGTGTATTGCTTTACTGTGTAACTACATTCATTGATAAATAAAAAGAAATTCTTATAAAAATGTTTTCATTTTTATATTTCATTCAGTATACATGTGTATAAATTGATGTTCGTGTTAGGGTTAGACTCTGTTATAAGCTTGTCCCGCTGATAATTTGTACAATGTTTTATACAGGACTTATACAACTTTTATCATTTATAACATACCAAATCCCTATATTCAGTATACATGTGTATAAATTGATGTTTGTGTTAGGGTTAGACTCTGTTATAAGCTGGTCCCGCTGATAATTTGTACAATGTTTTATACAGGACTTATACAACTTTTATCATTTATAACATACCAAATCCCTGTAACATTCAGTATACATGTGTATAAATTAATGTTTGTGTTAGGGTAAGACTCTGTTATAAGCTGGTCCCGCTGATAATATGTAAAATGTTTTATACAGGACTTATATACAACTTTTATCATTTATAACATATTAAATCCCTTCTAACATATCTTTTTTTTTCAGTTTGGGATAATCGAATTATGATTTTATTCTTCATGCACTAATAATAATGTTTTGTATTGTTTTGTATTTATTACACATTTATATGAACTTATTTTCATTTTAATTGATTATTTTCTAAATTTATTTTTTTATTTCAGATTGGAAAACATGCAATCTATATATCTCTTTATTTATTATTTTCCTTTTAAAATGTAAAACTGTTTCACTTCTAAAACATCATAATTTTATTTATACACATCTATTTTGTTTTCATTTTCATTTCAGATTGAAATTTAACTGTCAATGTAATTTCCTGTTTCAGATTTTTGCTTAAATATATTATGTGTATATTTGTTTCAGGATCTATTTGTCTAATTAAACATGAACATATTTTTGTTTCAGAATTTACTTTTCAAAGTCTTGTTTAAATTTAAACCAATCATGAATTAATGTTAATTATCTATGTTAATCCAGGAAGCAGCTCCCAAAGAAGCAGAGAAAAAGACAGAGGCACAGGAAGAGGAAATCGATATTGATTTAAATGACCCAGAAACAGCACAGGCTGCTCTGAAAATCCAGGCTGGATTCCGTGGCTACAAAACAAGGAAGGAAGTGAAAGAAAATCTAGAGTCAGAAGGGGACAAGACTGAGGGAGAGAAACCTTCAGAAGAAACAAAAACAACAGAGGAAGCAAAACCGGAAGAGGAGGCAAAAACAGAGAAAACGAAAGAGGAGCCTGTTGACATTGATCTGAATGACCCTGAAGTGGCTAAAGCTGCGACTAAGATCCAAGCTGGGTTCAAAGGTTACAAGGTCAGAAAGGACATGAAGGGCGACAAGGAAGGGGATGCTAAGGAAACAACAGTGGAGGCACCTGCTCCGACAGAAGATGAATCAGCGCCCAAACAAGAAGAAGCACCAGCACCGACAGAGGAAGCCCCAGCACCAACAGAACAAGCACCAGCGCCGACAGAGGAAGCACCAGCGCCGACAGAACAAGCACCAGCGCCGACAGAAGAGGCACCAGCGCCAACAGAACAAGCACCAGCGCCGACCGAAGAGGCACCGGCGCCAACAGAACAAGCACCAGCGCCGACAGAAGAGGCACCGGCGCCAACAGAACAAGCCCCTAAAGAAGGTGAGAATCTGTCTGTGTAGCATCTTAAGGATGTCTCTGTGTAGTACTGTCTTGTGTAAAATACAAAAAAGTCCATATTCTTAGTCGGTTACTCTTGTGGAAACTTTCATTTTTTGAAGTGCCAAGATTAAATGAAACATTTGTCATTCAGGTGAAATGTTAAAAATATTTGGATTTATAATATAAAAAAATGTATCAGGGGGAAAAAATCACAGAATATTGCAATGAGTTTCTTAAGGTGACTATGATAAGATCGCTGTATCATTTTCTGGTTTTGTTCTTCGTATTGTTTTAACCCTTTCACCACTGTAGACCATTATGAACTCATCCAGATCAATGCATAGTAGAGTCTACTGAAGTTGCATAGGGGTGAAAGGGTTAAGCATGGTGTCAAATGTGGGAGCTGAGGTTCTAATTCTGAACTCAAAGGTCTAACTTCCACCATTCCACATACCTACATAATGTTTATCGCTTTTCTCCCACCTCTATACTCCGGATTAATGTAACATTGACACAGATATTGCAAATGAACAACAGATGTAGTAGATTTTACAAATCATCTAGGGCCACATTTGTAGAGATGAGAAAACGATAGTAAATCATGGAATTCGAAACTAGATTCACATCAATTTTGTTTTCCTGAGAGTAAATGAAACTACTGAACATTTCAAGCTCCAAAAAAACGTTTTCATCCACTTCCTAATATAGAAGTTAAAAAAAAAGTAGTTGTCAACATAGAGGTCACAGAGACTTAAGTATCTATTGGATATTTCCCTTGGGAATATGTGACAATGTATATATAGAGAGGTGAGAGAAAAATTACACATTATTTCATGATAATTATTAGATTTACTCATTCACCCCTGAAATTTCATAATGAACTATTCGAACCTTTAAATTGGAAGAGTTCAAATGTGTCTTCAGGGATGAATGAGTTAAGATCGAATTGATAGCATGTATTCTTATTTGCAGATGCACAAAATTGAATACTTTCATTAAGTTCAATGTTCTCTCTGTTTACTTGCAGATTAAATTGTGAATTAAATTGAAGATTCAAGTACAAGTTTTAAGAAACAACATTATGCATTGATTTTGCATAAAAGAAATACAATGCACATTAGTTATTGTGTTTGGCAGAGTGTGTTTTAAGTGACTTGTGAGTCTGAAATAATAAGTGTCAAGTAATCTCCAGTACCTTGTCCAATTTATAATTGTATATCCTGTATGCATACAAGTTGATAGATATGTGTGAAAGATGTTTTAAGATGTTACCAGAATAGCTATGACATATGAACGGCAGTTGTTGGACACTTCACATTATATACAGTGGACTTGTATTTATCCAGAAGTTTTGGCCCTCCTTAAATTCAACTTAAATATTGTTTAATCCTTTTCCCTTTTTTTGTGAATTATGCAACAGAAATTATTACTGTAGGATCACTGTAACTTTCAACTGATTTTCAACATAACTTTTGCTTTATTGTTATCTCCCTTAAGTTATTACGTTATTAGCTGAATTCAAATTTCCATTAGAAGATCATTTATCCTCTGTCCACGTTTCATGCTTCCAAAGCTCTTTTGGAAAATAGACACATGCCACAGTTTTCTAGAGTCTGGATAAATTGTTCCACTGAATTTATTAATGATAAGTGCAATAGCCTAGTCATTAGAACTGAGTAAAATCAGGGCTTTTATCTGTTGAATGTGTTTAACTCATTCACCCCTGAAATTTCATAATGAACTATTCCAGCCTTTGAATTGGAAAAGTTCAAATGTGTCTTCAGGGGTGAATGAGTTAATAACAGCGTAGAGTCGGACACAAGTATAGATTAATCACTGGTAAAGGCCCGTTATACACCGTCAGAGACATCTACTGGAGTAACTATGGTTTATATGTTAACCTTGCATTATGTGTGATCAGGGTTCTGGCACCAACGAAACAGAATGGAAATGTTTAATATATGTAGAAAAGTGTGTATTAATGCAGCACCTTCTGTAGTGTGTACATAGTTTATATTAGCACTTTACATATATGGTCTGATATTATCAAACCCATCATGGCAAGTTCACTCTTTTCATATCAAAACATATCAGAAAAATTGTCTCCCTTTTTACCTTGATGGATATTACATAAATGCATGGTGGAGTCACTGTGTTTTGATTAAAAACGAAAACAAAAATGGACACTGTACATGTACATGTAGATCAAAACAGAGCAATTTCATTTCATTTTTACAAATCATGACATTATGTGATAATTTCAGTTGCACAAAACTTACATATAATCTCAATTATATTCTAATATAAGAACTGAAATTTTATTGAATTTTTTTTTTGGTTATCACATGAAAATATATTTGAACACCAGTAACAAAATATTGTTAGTAACTGATATTTGAATATCAGTAACACAAATTAATGTATTAGCGCCATTAACATAAAGTGCTTCCTATAAAGTAGCTGACCACTAACCGTTCTTGTCACTAGTACTAACTCTCATGTGTTATTATATCTTTGTAACATTTCTATTGGTCATATAGATGCACATTTCGACCGTGACCTACTATATCCTTATCATCTCTCCTAGTCTCTCTGATCTTAAATCCAATGATACATCCTAATCGTAATCACGTTTATTTGGATTTCATTTATTATAAAGATGTTTTTAAAAGAAAGTATTTAAATCAAAAACAATAATTTCCTTATATTATGTACTAATGCAATGTTATATTATTTTTTTATAATTTTTTCATATTTTTAAGTAAATTAAAAATCCACATTAACAACTTTGAAGTGAAGTGAAATGTTGGTAGCAAGTGCGTTGGAATTTTGTATAATTTACTTATAGTTTTGAAAGTTATTAACGTCTCCATTTCTCTTCCATTTCAAGCTTGCAATTACGTCTTTGCGTATTGCAGAGTAATCTTCTCTTGTTAGCAGGTTACGTCATTGGTTTGTGTGAGAAAATTACGTCGTTTTCTCGAAAATTGTTGACGTTAACTTCATAAACAAATGATGTAACAATCAATACCTGCTCACAAGAGAAAGATATCCTGCAATACGAAAAGACGGAACACTGAGTTCAAGCAGGGACGTAAAATGGAGTATATACTGTCCCTGGTTCAAGATTATTTTTCGCCCAATTTATATTAACATAATTTTTTATCAAAATAAAATAGTCTTTAAGATGATCTAAAAATAAGAAAAAAAGCAATGCTTTCAGATTTAGTTAACTGATTTGTCCTCTCACCTACTGCTATTTCTTAAATATCACTTATTTACTGCACTTTAAGTTTTGCAGTTTGAGATAATCGACATGTACAGTAGACATGGTGTTGGTATTTCTCTGTCAACTAGCTGCGTCACTTTACCAGTCTGTAACTTTTAATTAATTACAAGGCTACTGTGAAAAAAGGATCATTTCTTTTTGTCAGTGAAATAGAAATTCATATTTTCCAAATGCTGTTTTGGTCACACTGGTTCAATTTACCAGAACTCTAGTAACTTACAAGGGTTGAGAGCAAAATATTGATAGTAAAAAATGATAAAAAACGGTCATTTATGGTGAAAATTTATGAAAGAGATGGGTATGTTTTAGCGAGACATGAAGTTGGCTTCCGTTATGTAATTGTTAGATTTGAGTGTTTATTACTATTGTGCTCTTATTGATGGTCTTTCAATAACTTCTCTTTTGTTCATGTATATTTATTCAAGAAATTTCATATGTTGGTATAGTGGCCAACATAACGATATGTGATAAATATTCTTATTATTCCATCAATGTAATTTAGCCTTAATGTAGTTTTTTTATTTTTGAAAAATGTCTACTACTGAATGAAGGAATTTTTGTTCCAAGGCTATTAAAATTGCATTCCGACTTTTTTAAATAGTTTAGTATTAATATATTAATATTATTTTATATTACAACAATTATTGAGCCAGTTTTGATATAGAATAGGCTGTGTTATGCATATAGGACTATTCCGCTTTTTGAGCGGCCACAGGTTGGCTTGTCATAATAGATATCAAAATCCTTATGCAATTGATTTTAGTGAATTAACAGAATGACAAATTTGTGTTCGAAGGCTATTCAAATAGCATTTCGACTTCTTAAATACTTTAGTATTCATAAATATTTGTTATTTAATATGAAATCAGTTATAGAGCCAGTTTTGATATAGAGAAGGCTGATTTATCCATATAGGACTATTTCGCGTTATATTCCGGCTTTTGAGCGGCCACAGGTTGGATTGTCACAATAGATATCAAACACCTTATGCAATTATTTTTTAAGTGAATTCAATCTTAGGTTACACTGTAGTATACCACCAAAACGACTTTCTGATGAATTGTTTATGTTGTACATTTGTTTCGATTTTATATTAACATATCTCAGTATACAAAAACGTTCCAGTATTTATTAGAATATTTATTTGTATGAATCATTTGCAATTGAAAGAGACGTGTCTTTTTCATTTACCTAATAAAATGAAATTCAAACTAAAGTTGGCTTTTCTTATCTATACTTTCGTATCTATGCTTTCTTACTTCATCTTCCTCTGTTGGTGGATTTCTAAGTCATCGACGTCTGCTGTAACCCCGATGACCACGTTAATCTCTATTGAGTATTGGCAGGGTTCATAACATACACACTTTTCTAATAATTGATTTGGTTAACAACATCTTATGTTTGAAATTTATATCATCAGGAGGTTTTATACAACTCCCCTTCTGTTTTGACAATAGTTTAGTTTTTGGATTTCCACATTTTTTGGCCCTTGCATCACCGCTGAGTCCTAGGAGGACAGCTGTACGATGCTGTGTAATTCATTCACTTTCGGCATACTGTATCAATTTCCAAATTCCAGTAGCATGTGTGTATCTTACGTTTATCCTGGATATATTGCACATAAAGTCACTCATATTCCGTCAAAACATTTTTCTGGAAACCTCGTAATGTTACATACATTTAAACCTTTCACCACTGTAGACCATAATGGACTCATCCAGATCAGTGTATGGTAGCGTCTACTAAAGTTACCTAGGGGTGAAAGGGTTAAGCTTAATTGTGCCAGTTTGCAATGTAAATACTAACAAAGATGCAAAGTTACCTGCGAAATATGTGTAATTTAACGGACTCGCTGTACCAAGTTTCATTATGTATATGACAGTTTACTTTATTATGTATATGACAAATTACCTCGTTATGTGTATGACAGTTTTGGTAAATTTTGAACCACATGGGTTCGTTGTTCAAGAGCTAATTAGCTTATTGCGTTTTATAAGTGTTCAAAATGTACTCTGAGAAATATCTGAAAATTATTTGAATTTTTAGTGTTGCCTGTCTGTAGGCGGTCATTTTGAATATTTCTTTGAAAATGGATTTTATATCGAATATCAGGTACTTTTCTTTTCATATATACAATGAAAAAGAAAATATATATTGCATTCGATTGTAATCAAACTGACAGCTCTGCCCTGATGTTTTTACCGGAAAAACTGTAACTTCGGGTTACTTATTATTTCCCTTGGAAAATATGCACAAAGTTACTCACATTTCGGAACAATGAAGATGACTTAATTTGTGATTACGTTAATGAAGCGTGGTACAATGATATCCTGGTGTGACAGACTTTAACTGTTCTTTTGCTTCAGTAAACTTGCCACTCTTGCTTATTAGCTTTTTTAGGGTATGATGTATAGTATTTCATAAAAAGTTCAAATTGGATTTGAATATAATCTTCAATGCATTTCACACGGAACATGGCTCATTTTGTGTAGTTGACCGAAAAAACATGAAAACATTTTTGCTCACATGGCCCTTATGCTATACTGCGTCGTCCGTCCGTCAACTTTTTCTTTTGAACGACTTCCTCTGAATAACTGGAGGACCTAGGGTCATGATATTTGGCCAGTACATGTTTCTTGGGATGGAGTGCTATACAGTTCCCTCATAAAATGACCTTGACTAAGTTTCAAGGTCACAGGGGTCAAATATGTTAAAAACTACAAACAACAATATCCTAAGAAGCATTTGGTCTGGAGTCATGCTACTTTGGTATGTTACGTAGCCTTGAATCGTTTTCTTTATTAGAGTAATAAGGTCAAATGTCAGCTTTAATTGATAGCCGGGGTCAAAGGTCAACGTGGGTTAAAAGCTTTAAAATTAAAATTTCAAATAACAATATCATTACAACCGTATTAGAGATGTTAAATGTCTTGTGTTCTAGTTAAAACATTTGGTCTGAAGTTACCTATATGTCAGTTTCATGTAACAAAAGAAACAGGTGAGCGATACAGGCCCTCTGGGCCTATTGTTTTTAATTATTTTACATTTGGAGACGTTATATTGATATAACGTTCTAAGCCAGTGACGACTCGATCATTAAACCAGACGCTGTATCTTCCCAGGAAGATTTAACGTTGTAAATATATTTTCAACCGCTAATCATGATAATTATGACGAATTATTAAGTCGTTGATCCACGTATAGTGCAAAGTTGTCAAATGAAATTAGAATTTCGTCAAAACATCTCCCAGTGGCATAAATCAATGTTTCATTACCTGTCTTTATACTTACTCTTACAGTGAATGTGATTTCTATTACAAAAATAAACAGGAAAAGGGGACACAAAGAACATTTAAACAATGAAGAAACTTACACATAAACGTCGGCTGTTAAAACAGAGTTTGTTTTTAATATTTTAAAATCATCGGGGAATATTTCACCAAAATCACTAATATCAGAAGGCATTTATGAAAGAAATATGAATGAAATCCAAAATTAGTAGTTTGTCTAGCTAAAGAGTATGACACCTGAAACTTCTAGACTTTTGTAGATTTTAAAAAATATAAAAAAAAATCCTTGACTAAGATTTAAAAACATTTTTAATTCCTTGAGTAACGAATGTTGTTTTCTCCTGTTGGTCACAATTTATAGGAAAAATAAACTAAGTATTACTTACAACTTTATCCTAATATTTTAGCAGGGTCGACTTAACTAAACTGTACGATAATTTAAACCATTAAGACATCCCGACCGTGAACTTTCTCGATAGTAACAACCCTGTTTCTTTCTCAAAGAAACGTGCGACAAATTACTGTTTCATGAGTTTTGCGGGTTTGTGATAAGTCCGCTGCAATACATGTATATATTCACTTTAACTAATACGTTATGAAACAGAAACACAAGTAATACAAGATTCTCACAAAGATAAGAGGTTGAGGAGAACAATCGTATGCATCCAAGTATCGTTAAGGATTTTTTTTATTATTAGTTACATGTAGATGAAAACAAAAGCATTGGCCTACATAACCAAGATGAGGATAAGAGAAAAGATTCTGAAAGATTCGTTTCGGGTTTTTTACTTCAAATTTACTCTGGAAACTGTAATTTTTATTTGAGTCGTAATTATAATGATCGAACATTTATATTTGTTTATGAAAGTATTTTTGAAAACTTTGAGCTGCAGATCTGTTAGGGAAAAGAAGCTTTTGATAATAAGGTCATGACATGTTGCATGTGTTTGATTCAGCAAAGAAACAAGAGAACATCATGGAACTTCCCTTAGAGGACGGCCAAAGAATCCTGGAAGCTCTGTCTGCCTTCAAGACGTTCAAAAAGCCGGACACATTACCAGGTAGTATTGTTTAACTGGGTCTATTGATAACTCGGTGGATCTATGTTGTAGATCTGTGTCAAAATGGATACTTTCGCGTTCTGACTTTAAACAATTTGCACTGTGTAAATGGTCGCGTTGGCTACTGAATATTTATAGTGTGAAACTTTCTCCCTGTCAAACATTTGCTGTTTGTTTGTGAAAACCATTTCTGCTGTTTATTAAAACTCGCTGCTACGATAAATTAGTCCTCGTGCTAGAAATAGTAAAAATGGCGAAAGTTAAACGATGCTTAAATTTCCAGGCATACTGTAATAAACGCAACACCGCAAATAAATTCTCGGTTTTACAGTAAATGATAAGACCTGAGAAGGAAACGCGGTCGCCAAAAACAAACTAGTAAATGATTTGTTCCGATAATTTTTCGTTTCATGATGTATTGTCCTCACTGTAAATGCATCGTTTTCATGCATGGAAAGTTGAGAAAATCGACGATTCGAAATAGATCTTCAACTAATGCTTTGAATTGATTGACACCAACCATTTGACCTGAGCAAGGTTAATGTTATGGCATGGTATTTCAGTGAGGTAGTCCATACCCGCCTCCAGCACATATACACATACATTACAAACTCGGAGGTACGTCCTTAAATGATCGTAGATGGTAAATAGGACATCAATGACTATAAACGGTGGAAATTACGAATGACCTGTGGTGGTATGGATATTATAAGTTCGAATTAAAAGTTTAAACTTCTAAACGTGATAATTGAGGATTCTACTTAAGAATTATCTACATTAAGATGTTATACGTCTCGGAGTTTCATACTAGAAAAGGTGCAAACGAAAATAACCTTAAACAAGATTATGATGAAATAGTTTCTTTCGAAATATCTGCGCGAATTTCAAGAAAGACTGATAAAAACCTAGTTAATGGTGACGCTGCGGTTTATATTTTTTATTTTTCATTTTTTATAATTATCATTATTTCAGAACGTCTCAAGTTGTCACGGCCTCAAGTCAAGAAACTCTTAAAATGGTACAAGACGTCGAAAGAGAACATAGATGAGGTAATTTGAACAAGACCACAATCAAGTCGGACTGGATTTGATGAAGGGGTTTTTGGTCAAAGTAAATGTATTCAGATACGTCAACAATATATTAATGTCACGTTAATAATATTTTGACTCCGTAAATCTAGTAAAACCAATAATGCATATTAATTACAAGGCCAACAAGGTAAGAGAGAACGAATCACTCACCTCCTTTGTAGGATACAGGGGTCATGAAGCATTGCGTTTAACAGCTTTGAGATTGCCCCCATGGTTGAGATGCAAATACCTCACCCAAATGGCGTAAACGATTTAATTAATCAATCAGAATAGTCGAAGATCGACATGAGTTACTTGATTTTGATGGAGAAGAGCTTGGCGATATATATATCGATTCACATCATTATTGTTATATTGAAGGTTTTAACGTATTTAAAATACATACATAGCCACTGGATAGAAAAACGGGAGCTGTGTGGTTTTTTTTGGAATACCCCTGTTTCCTCCCATATTGAGACCCCTCCGAATCAACGAGATTGATTTATATAAGTTGTTAAAACGTTTAATATTTTTTGTTAAATATATTAAGGTTTTTTTTCAAATACGGAGAGAGGAAACCCCTATGTAAATATTTGGCTTGGGCAATGCTCCATGACATAACAGTAAACGATGACGTTTATAACGGCACCATTCCGATTATATATCACTAACAAGCGGTACTAAGGGTCAAAGGAATCACAGTCCGAGTCTGAAGTGTAACGAAACATACATAGAAATGCAGTGAAGAGGGAAGGTGTGTATAAAACCTTTTATAACGCTCAAAGATAGTGGTGGACCGGCCATTTCAGGCACTGTCTGTCATGGAAACTTTAGGGATGGTTGCTACTACTGTCATCTGGTTTGGCAAGGAAGGGAAACTGATTTGTTTAGTGTTGTAATATTTATAATCTTAAAGGATTCCTGTCCTACTAGTGTATTACTACAGTAACATAATATCTGCCTAACTTCTGGCTAAAACGGAAATATATTCGAAAACCATTATATCATGAAAACCGTGACGAAATAAGTTCCTGCTGCGAGAGTCTACAGCAAAGTCTACCACCTTGTTACGGGGAAAGATCGCCAGACATACGATAGAGTCACGTCAAGGCACCGTGTTGTATCTTTGAACAAGATACTTTACTGCGCTCGTCCATTCTACTCATCTGTAAATGAGTACGTGATGGGGCAGTGCTAGAATTGTTGAATGCTACGAACTAGGATATGATAGAGCGGTATATAATAATCTCGAATTATATTATTATTATTATAACAGGGAATTTAAAACAAGATAATGTCGATGTAGTTCTTTGGTTTATGTGGTGACTGGGGTTTGTTATGTCTAGACTAGAAAATAGCTCAATCATGGAATTTTCTATTTACAGGGAACGTTCACAGGTATGAGAAGGGCCGCTTTTCAAACCCAGAAAACTTTTTCTAAAATTAATTTCTTTGGAAAAGAAACTGATGAAACTGAGGCCACAGATGACGATGATGATGACGATGATAATGACTTTGATGACGTAAATTTCCTTAATGGCTTTTTCGGAAAAGAAGGCGAAGCAGGGTTTGACGAAAGTACGCTCGAGAACTTGTTTGCAAATATGTTTGGAGGTTTTGGTGAAGCTTTTAAAGATGACGGCAATGTCAGCAAGTCTGGGATCAGCAGTGGCATAGGAGGTAAGATACCTAACGTACAGTTTATCACGAGCGTCACGTGCAGGGCAGGTGCAGATGCTTATCTCGTGGGGATCATGGTTCTGTCTCCACTTTTTTAAATCTCGTTTTTCCTTGTTTTGGGGAGGGGTCAAATGATGTTGCTCTTTCGTTTTTTAATCATCCTGACGTCCTCTGTGCTTTATCATGCCAATATGCCAATAACTTTCCTACATATTGATACATTTTGGTCAAATGTGGTATGTACTTGTAAATGAATGGCTCTGCTTATATTAAGTTCAGAGATATGCGCATTACGTGCATATCTCATAAGGTGACTAGTGCCTGCTCCATTCTGATTGGTCGACGCGTTCCTGACAATAACTCTTCTATGAGGGGATATTTGTGGGGTATGCATGCCTACCTATTATTATAATACCGGTACAAAGATGGGTGTACTTCAATTAGCGCAGTTGTAATTTAGTGAGCGCAATATTTAAGCACAATAATGTCTTAAGTGTACAGTTGTTGTATTTGAATCGCTGTTATCTGTGCTCCTTTACAGGTATGATGACGAATATGACCGAATCCGCCTCAAACATGGTGCAGCCTATGATGAAACTAGTTGACAAGTCAATGTACTACAAACCTGTCAATGCTGCAATCGAGACGGTAAGTATTCATAGAATTCACATTTCAGCAAACCTGTCATGAGTGCCATCGAGACGGTAAGTCTCCCTAGGATTCACATTTCAACAAACCTGTAATTGCTGGCATCGAGACGGTAAATCTCCATAGGATTCATATTTCAACAAACCTGTCATGGATGTCATCAAGACAGTGAGTCTCCATAAGATTCACATTTCAACAAACCTTTCATTGCTGGCATCGAGACGGTAAGTCTCAATAGGATTTACATTTCAACAAACTTTTCATTGCTGGCATCGAGAGGGTGAGTCTTCATGAGATTCACATTTCAACAAACATGTCATGGACGCCATCGAGACAGGAATCTTTAGATGTAGCTAAATGAATACATTGTAGCAATATGTTTTACATAATAATGATAAATGATACAAATACATTCTTCACGTATTACAGCTTGAACCCTGGATAGAACAGAGTAGGAACATCTTAGACGATGAACAGATAAAAAAGCTTGATAAACAGCTGGAATTATACGTTGAAATCAAGGAGCTTTTTGACCAAGAGCAAGATGATGATGAGTCACATGAAAAAGAGGCGCGAGGTTCGAGGGTCCTGGAGCTTTCCAATGAGATCGAAAAAATTGGCCCTCTCCCAAAAGTTGTCCAGGATGCTATGGTATGTCGTTAAGCAACTCTTTCATTCATTTATCAAACATTTATCCTCCCAGATCATATTGTTTCCGGCTAATTATTGGGCTCATGATATTGTTCAATTGTTATTGTCTTCTTGGTCTTGTTGTCTCTTTGAAACGAACTAGGTTCTGATTTCTTCCTTGTCTGATGACGCTGTGGAACACACTGATATTCCGTCATTGCGTGTTGCAGAGTTATCTTTTCTTGTGAACAGGTATTGATTGTTACGTCATTTTTTTGTGATAGTAACGTCATCAATTGTTAAGAAATCGACTCTTTTTTTTCACACAAACCAATGATGTAACAATCAATACCTGCTCACAAGAGAAGATAACTCTGCAATACGCAAAGACGGAATAAGGCAATGCCTATCTTAGGTATTAACAACATATGTCAAATGTATGAAAGGTTGATAATATGTCTGCAGTAAAGAGTAGTTTCGAGTCATAGCATGTTTAAAACCACCTATGTATATTTGACTAGCAATCTCGAGCAATTATACTGGGACAAACCAGGAAATAATATTATTGCTCTTTAAACAAAGTGTATGGATGTAAAAAAAAGGTTAAGAATTTTCAAAGCTGATTGTAATAGGTAAGGTTTTATAGGCTCATATACCCTTTTTCAGATAGCTGTACAGAGAAATGTTGTAAATGTTAAGTGGTTCTTGCAATAAATATAATGGTTTTACAATGGGATAAAAAAGCAAAGAAACGTCAAATGTGTAGGAATAAAAATTCATTATTTTCTATTAAAACAAAACCATACAGGCGATAGTTCCGAGTTGTTTCTTTAAAATGGCATATTTTAGGGAACGGTAAAACACTGTAGCTTATAAATTAATATAACATGTTCACTATTCATCATTTTCGTGTTCACATTTGTCGAAGGAAGGATTTTACTTGTATGAATCATAATTATCTACTCACCTGTTTAAATTGACTTGTATCAATCATAAGTATCTAATCATCTGTATGAATTCACTTGTATTATTCATAAATATCTACTCACCTATTTACATTGACTTGTATCAAACTCATCTGTATGAATTGACTTGTATCAATCATAATTATCTACTCATCTGTATGAATTGACTTGTATCAATCATAATTATCTACTCATCTGTTTGAATTGACTTGTATCATTCATAATTATCTACACACCTGCAATATAATATGTCAATGTTTTTCTTCAGAATAAAGAGGCTGGCACAATGGATCCTGAAAACTTGCCAAAGATGATGGAAAATGTTGGAAGTGTATTTACAGAAGGTTTGTCAAATATGGTTTCAGGTGGACCAAAAGCAACTGAAACGGATAATTGTACAATCTTATAAACATCCAAATATTTTTACAAGGATGTGTTTGGAAAAGGACCTATGACTGCATATACACTCTTACGAAAAAAAGTTTTTTCGTGCGTTTTCTCTCAAATGACAATTATAAAAATATTACAGTAGGAATAGATGTAGTGAGCACATGAACCGAATTTATCAAGAAAATGTTACCTAATCTAATAGAAATATATATTTTTCTTGTAGAACATATGTATTTTGCGCCCTTTTCAATTTCATTTTTTACAGAGAGTAGGGAATCATTTTCTTCATTGTAGATCATTTACATAAATGATATTTTAAACAAACCAAACTTTTGAGATGTTAATAAAATCAAGATGACGTATAATATTATACAATGTGGAGAAGTGAAACGTTTTGACAAAACAGTTTTTTGGCAGCATTGGCAATTCAGGTTTCTCCAGCATTTCTTCTGACTTTGAAACTGACACTACTTTCACGGGCGTCACACAGTGTTTGAAATCCGTGTGTTACTATGGTCAGTATGGTATTAGAAGGGTAGGGTTTTGTTCTGCAGATAATGGTCCAGTATCTAAACAGCATGTGTGATTTTCGTGCAATTCGGGTTTAACCGTTTTTTAAAAAAAGAATATTTAATAAAGTTATTTTCAGATAGACAAATTTACAGATTTTATATTAAGTTGGTTTAGTTTTGAATCAAATAAAGAACAATCTGCCATTGATTTCTTTTTAGCGTCCAGTTATTCACATGCAGATTCTCTGTGCAGCTTATAGGTATCTTCTAACTTAACACAGTAACATCTCTTTCCAAAGGGAATCTAATTGCATTTTCGAAAACATTAAAGGAATTAAATTAAACATGATAAAACATTTCTTCTGAACGTTTTAAAAATATCTGAAAGAGGTTTTGGATGACCCTAAGAATGCTTCACCCAAAGTGACTTTACATTGGACGATGCCATGACCAAAGGGAAGTAACTGTTGGAAGAACTGTCCAGCGATTGGAATTCACTTCACACTTTTTAATCCAAAACGCCATATTAAATTTCAATATGAAAATACTTTAATCGCAGGTTTGTTTATATACTGATCTTTTTACTTGTTTGACCTTTATGTTAGATATATCTCGCCACAATTTTATACACTGTATAATATCCACCTGTATATCATTATATTTGGAAGATCTAAGCTCATACTATCTTGACAATGATTTTAATTTTTAAAATGTTACAAAGATGTTACCCTTTCTGTATCAATTGTCGCCCTTTGTTAACGATTTTGTACACGAGTTTTGATATATTTTAACTTCGACTTTTTCTTTAACAGACCTCCAATACTCTTTTGCTCAGAGTTTTTTCATCTGTAGTGATTTTAGAAATGTTGCATGGTTGTATTTACATGTATTTAAATACAGATTGGATGCTGACGTGTACACCAACACTGTGATAGATTTTGTATAATTGCAACATAAGTATTACTGATAAATCGTATTACATACAGGACGTTAAGTGAAAAATATATCAGCGACTTTACCTGTATAAGAAACATATAATGACCTCTATGGACATATGGAATATTAAAACAAAATGTTATTCATTCATGTATACTTTAAAATGCAATTTTATTTCATACCTTTTTATATGTCTGTGATTATGTGCCTTCACGTTTAATATTTGATACAAGCTCAAATCATCAATATTTATTAGATTATTATGATATTTTTAGTGGTATCGTTATTTGATATTAATATATAAAATATGTATGCAATCATTCATCAAAATCCATTTCATTATAAACTTATATATATATACAATTTTAAATTAAGGACTAATTGTTCCACCTGTTCTCGTTCATCTACCGTTATCGGCATAGCCAATATTTTTTGCATACTTATCGAACGTGATTATTTATTTCTATCAATGGCAAAGAACTATACATACATCGTTTTGTATTTGATATGTGTTACTACTTTTTAAATCACATCAAACTCGCGAGACATTTTAATGTTATTTGCGAAAACAAATTAAATCGAATAAAAGCAACTCACACACTGTGTTCAGTGATGATTAACTGAAAGTGTTTCATATAGAATTTCTCAAAATATCGTTTGAATCAAAATAGTGATCAAATAATATGCGTGAGAATTAAGTAAAATACATAAATGAATTTTGAAAAGGCAGATTTTCTAGGTAAGATAATCATAAAAGATTTTACAATCAAGTACTCACATTATTGATATGTAAGCATTGTTTAAGTTCTCAAATAACATGTACATAAGCTGTTACAATGTCTATGGATGTTGAGGTGTTTTTTTTCGGAAATAAAAACAAACTTCATATGTCTGTGTCCTCATATTTATTTTCTCTACTGTTCCATTATTAATTTCATTTAAAAAAAACGAATCATTATTGTATTATTATTATATGGCAAAAATAATCCGATTTACCTCCTCTGCTTACTATTAGTCAACTGGTAATTCCGTCTTTGTGTATTGCAGAGTTATCTTCTCTTGTGAGCAGGTATTGATTGTTACGTCATAGGTTTGTGAGAGTAACGTCATCAATGTTTGAGAAAACGACGCAATTTTCTCACACAAACCAATGACGTAACAACAATCCCTGCTCACAAGAGAAGATAACTATGCAATACGCAAAGACGAAATACGTTGTTGTACAAAATGGATATGATTAATAATCTATTCCGACACTAAAAATCATGTAAATAGTTCATGGCGATATCTACTTAAAGGCATGTTGATACTTATTTATTTTATCAAAACGTTTTCATTTTCTTATCTTATAATTTTCGTAGCTTTATATACAGCCTACAATGAATCCTTTGTCTCTCTGGGAGGAGAGTTATTATATGACGTTTCTGATTATATATGATATATGTTTGAACAAACTTTTAGATCATTACTATTTGTCATCTAAAGAGTAGTTATAGTTATTGCCACACAACAGATGACCGGTTCTCTTCTTGGAAAATCTGGTATATATTAACCACGCAGAGAAGATGAAACAGAACGACACGATAGCTGGGTAACCAAACATGGAAGGATCAGGAATGAAAATAATCATTATAAACTTGAACATATCCATCAGCTTGTTGAGCGAGGACTGGAAGCCGTTTACGATGCCTCTCTCTGTTTCTGCGACGGCTTCTAGAAACAACTGTGTGATGGCAAGATCGGTCAGCCAGACACCTGTAGAGAAAAAAAGAAATGTCAAACATAAAAAGAACGGCAGCAAAAGAGTCAAATAACACCAAAGCGTAAGAAAGCAAGGACAATATACATAACAGAGTAGACACACAAGCAAAGTTAAAGAAACATGCACTATGTTAACGAGTACAGGGTACTGATAGCATACTCAAGTTGTCGACATACAGTCACACAATGGTATTACTGAAACTAGTGTACACGTCAATAACTAACATGCATAAAACCAGGGCAAATGATGATCAACGGAAGATGTATATGAATACCTCCAAAAGGTACAAGGACAATATGACAAAGAGTTCTGGAATGGCAAACGTATTCTGCTTCATCGACGGTAGCCGCCATAAAAATGTATGTCAATTCCAAGAAATGTCACGTCCTCAAATGGAGACATGACAAAAAACATCAAAGCACTTTATTATGCGTCAGAAAATAAACACCAAAGAGATAATTATAGCGACAATACAACTATACTCTTCATCAACCTGCCCCTTTTACTGTACGTTTTTTTTTATCAGCAGTAAACCTCCATCATGGAAATCATTATATGTGAAGCAAGTTCTTAAACACATGGAAACAGTAATGTGGTCAATAAGAAAGGGAAAATTCACGCTCGGAAATTCATTATATTTCAACTACTTTTACAGAAGGTGATTTATTGTTCTGTGTAGCTTTAATTTGCGTAAAACTTATAAAATATAAAATAAAATAACTGATATTATATAACAAAACGTATTACAACACATATACTCACCAAATCTGGCACCAACAATACCCATTAGTAACATTATAATGGAAGCTTTAGACTCGGGAATGTCGTCTGACACATCTAAAATGTGGTTACAAGCTGTTGACACGTGCAACTCCGGTTCTGGAGCAGGTTCGTAGGTGGTATTAACATACGGTTCTGACGATGATGCAAGTGGCCCAATAGTGGTTGCTATGGTATTCGAACAATTCCCTTTGATGATGTTATGCTTGGACCAGTCTCGGTTTGGATCAAAGGTTCCACCAGGCATCCATAGTGACACGATACATAAGCAGAGACAGCATACTTCCCAGCTGAACCCTATAGATAACGTACATTGATTTATTCTATAAGTAATAATTCTATTAGTAATACAAAATCAAGTCCGGACTCTTTCTGGTGGTAGGGTCTAAAATGACAAAGTGGGCCAATATTAGACTACAGCTTATGTCATTTGTGGAGTTTAACTTTTTAGCGATAACCCGAAAAAATATGTAATATAAATTGACAGGATATACAATTATATAAATTATTTGACATTTCAACTTATCAAAATAATAGAACCAAAACACAAACTTCTAGCACATTTTTGTAACATATCAACGGTGTGTATTCCTGAAACAGTAGTACTCACTAGAAAGGAAATACACAAAATCAGTCTCTGGATACAGCAGTTTCTCTTGTACTATATTTTTTATTAGTATTCTCATCGTTCATGTCAGTATTACTGTTGTTTAATAGTTACCTATAGTTCCAGTTCTGACAAGACCAAACTTCCGTCTGAGGATCGGGAAGGATATAGAAGCGATTATACCAAACACTGCAGCACATCCAATCAGAATTCCTACTAAGGACTCTGACATACCCTGAGTGGTGGCATAACCTGCAAAAGTGTTTTTTAACATCAGTGTGCACTCTTACATACAATGGGTGATGGCATAACCTACAAAAGTGTTATATAAACGTCTGTTTGGACTCGGAAATACTCTGGGTAGTGGAACAACCTACAAAAGGGTTGTATTAACATCATTGTGATAGAGAACTACCCTGCAGCCAAAGCAAGCTCTAAGAAAAGTTCAACCGAGGCAATGTGTCTTTGAAAAATCACACAACCTGCGGACCGGAAGCTCGTACGCATGAACAAGCCCTCTGTCCACCTGATATACATTAAATCCAATTTACAAAATCAGATAACGTCTCCTGTCGATGTAGATTGACGCGTCACTGGTACAAAACCTATGACACTAGCTTAGTGTTCAGAACATCCTGATGCCTAGAACAAGCTGTTGATTTTACCCTATTCTTGTGTGTTTAAGAAGTGGTGTTATCACTGTTTGACCTGGTGTCGTAACAGCCCAAACAAAAGGTTCAACGTACAAACTTAAATAGTTCTCTACAATTAAACAAAAGTTCATGTTACAGTTATTTTACATTACTTGTACGTAGCTTATGTTACCAAAAGATTGAGCGTTTATGAATTATGTTTGGAAGGTAGGTGTTGTCCTTAATTGTTATCATCTTTAAATATAATTAGTATTACGGAATAACATGTAATACCTACTCACCTATTGTGATATTGTCAAATCCAAGAACTGTGAAGTACAAGAAAGCCAATGCCCAGCCTGCAACCGCCACGTCATATTTCATAAACGTCTTCCATCCCCGATACAGCGATACCATACTGTAACATAGCTGTGCTGTCAGACTATTTGGTGTTTCCTTAACTACTTCCACATGAGTCCGCGAAGTCGCCTCTGTATTGGCCGTTGCCTTTTCAACAGATTCCAAATCCTTCTTAGATAATTGCTGATCAGAAGAACGAGATATGCCGTTTGCAGAACCTTTACTATTCGTCCCTATCTCGACTGTATAATTGTTTGATGAAGAGTTTGATTCATTTGTCTCATGCTTGGGTGAAATGTTATGATCTGGTTCTTGATCTAATGTAGAACTATTATCATCTACATCTTTTATTGTTGTGTCGTGTTTATCCGTTAGCTGTGTATCGTTCTGGTCCGTGACGTCGTGTACAGTGGGGCCTTCCTCTGTCTCGGTTGCAGTGGTGGTTGCTGTGATGTCGTATATCTCCACATGGGGTGTTGTGTTACCGACAGTTTCCTGGTTAAAAGGAGGTACATCATCTGATGGAAGAGCTTGGTATTCTTTGTCAGCATGCTCTGCAGATTTTATTATCTGAATTTCTTCCTTTACCTCTGTGAAAATAAACAAGACATGTTTTTGCATGTTTATAAATAATGGATATACCCTCAAATTTTAGTTTCTAAGGGACAACATCGTTATTAACAAAACATCAGAAACCTATAGTTAGGAAAGAAAGTGAAAGTTCACTTCAGAACTATTTTGCTTTAAAAAAATCACTGGCTCCAAATTCTCTTTCAACGAAATTGTATTGCAGTTTTCGATATACAATATTTCAAAGGTAAATCGAGTTTCTTTGCGTATACATTCATTAACGCTACATAATTAAATTATTTATATATAAATTTATATGGATATTTGAAAAAATAGTGTTTTAATATATTAAAAATAAAGATTTATTTTAAGACTCATCTAACACATAAACAACCATATGTAAAATTTCAAACAATTCAATAGTTACACAACAAAATGAAGAATCAGAATCCATATCATGTAACTACCTGATTTGTCGGCGGACGATTTGGTGTGTAGGGCTGGTACTAGCGTGTATACTTTCCAGACAAGGTAGTATTCTGCGACAAGGGCAACGATGTTCCATATACCAATAAAGATGGCGCCGTATATGTGGGAACCGTACGTCATCACGTGTCCCGTTACTAGGGGAGCTACAACCTTGGTACACAAGTCAATAAAACGGAAAGTCGCACTCATTGCTGTAAGGACACAAGGTAATACATATTATAAGTGGTGTTCTGTCACGTCCGTCGTATAACAAGCTAACTATATAACCTGTGGTAGTTTTAGTCTAGGTTGTCTAAATCCCAACACGGACGTGGAAGCGAGCAACTAAAACTGTGGATAAAATAGATCTTCTATTAGAGTTACTCCACTTTTATCACAATGTCTATAATGTATAAAAGGTTTCGTTGAATGTGTGTGTTTGTGTCTCTGGCTAGGAAATAAGCTATAGAGTTACAGCTCGTCGTCCATCCTTTTTTTCACTTTACAGTAAAACAACCATTGAAAATAAATGAAACATTGAACATTTTACCGGAAGTTGAGAGTTATAACGGAGTGTGTTTTCTTTAGTCCAATCAGATTAACATAATAAAACAATGTACTTTGTGGCAATATAAACACGTTTAAAACCTGTTACATGAAAAAACACTCAAATGATTAATTGCTGAAACTTGATATAATTTCAGTAACTTAATGTAGTCGATTGTTTTCCTTTGATTTATTTCGTTTCTACATAGAAGCTAAGTGTGGTTATCTCCCTTACTTGCAATAGTAGCTTTATCACGTTGACAGATTTCCACTATCCAGTCCCGCTCCATGATGAGAACACGACCGAGGTTAGTCAGGTTGGCAACAATAGTGATGATGACGACAACAGCAAAACATAGAGTGAGGAGTCGAGCATCCTCCCACACAGCCTCGATCTCGGGTCGGTACGTCAGAACGAAGAATATCACAACACAACAGACGGCGATACTGACGTTGTTCAAAACGAGGGCAACACGAGCAGCTGTAGTGTAATAAGAAAAAAACCTGACCTTCTGTATCCGGATTAAAAACAATTCATAACCAAAAACATTATTGGAAATGATGTTTCATGAACTAAAGTTAGGACATTAAGCGAAGGTCTCCCTTTGCTTAAGAACAAGAATGAAAATTAAGGATGCGCATTCGCCGATCATGGTCAAATCAAATTCATTATTAACTTTTCTTGTCTATAAGACGATAAAGCTTTTGAGATATGGGTGACATATTTTAATTAATTCAAATCAATAAATCTTTAAGTTATCAAAGGAAAATAAATATTCCATTAACCTCGTGTCTTTAAATACATATCTCCTGGTTTGTGTTAGATAAACATGTCTATGCATATAGGGAAAACCTTCAAATAACTTGCATCACTCAATTAAGAACTGATATTGCTTTGGTCGATTTCATTGGGTGGGGTGATGAATTGAGTTGGTCTTGAAACAAATTTAATAAACTGCGAAGCAGGTCATGTTGAATTTGTTTCAAGCCCAACTCAATCCATCCCCCCACGAAATCGACCAAAGCAAGATTCAAACCTTATATTTCAATCAACGTGTGTTTTTTCAATAATTAGAACTTGTGAAGACCATTCTGATAGTTTGATTCAGGTTCTGGAGCTTGTTCAAGTCTACGTATTGACGTAATGTAAATAAATATAGTCCGTCATTGAAGGACCGTCATACAACATGATGGGGTACGTTGATAGTTCAATACAGCCAAATTAGGTAAAAACAAAACACAAAACCATATTTTAAATGTTATTTTTAATTTTTGTTGATGAATTCATAAGATATCAAATTTTCGGACGCGTCATTGCGGAAGAATAATGTCTAGACGCGTTGCGCAGGCTCAGCTGTGAGTCTACGGCAGACATATTTTTACTAGCTCGAAGTGGAGAGCCGTTCAATTTCGAAGTTCTATATTTTCTGGAATGTGAAGCTGCAGTAATTGAAAGTCGAATTAGACAGGAAACCAAACGTGGCTTGAAGTTATCTCCCTTCGCAAAATCATACGCACAGGCAATGTTAATCTGGTCAAATTCATTGGCAAATGAAACAGGTTACATTTGGTATTTGTATTGAGTCCAACTTGAGGAAGAATTGAAATACTAGCGTTTAATGCACAAAAGAAGTTGGAGATAAATCAACCATGCATATTTGTTACAGGAATCTAAATACATAACTTTATAGGTGCAGTGTAGCCGACCTCCAAGTCATAAATTTCCTCATCGTCAATGAAATTCCATTCTTATGAAAAACTTGACTTAATCTAATACACGTGATTATAGATATGAGATGAACCCATATTACTTGAAATATATCCTACCTATCATGTTTCCTATTCAATCGAGGTATAAATGTGGTATTTAATATTGTAGTATATAAATGATACATTTGATAGCTATTTGTAATACGTTCTGAAAAAATAATTTATAAACGTTTCTTGGTCAAAATACGAACAGAGAACATTTTTACATCGAGACTATTGAAAACGTACAGGGTCTTCCAGAAGAGTAAGCGTCTTCTACTTATGGTCAAATCCAAGCAATTTCACGTCTTCAAAGTCACGTCCTCGCGTCCTCACATGGCATAAACTGATCACAATAAGCATAATCCTCATGTCTACTTATCAAAAAGCATTTTTTTTGTCCTATAATGAAGCCTGTCGCCTTACTCTTCAGTCTATTGGACCGGTCGATCCAGTCTCCAATGATAGCCGCTAGCAGAAGCCTGTCGCCTTACCTCTTAGTCTATTGGACCGGTCGATCCAGTCTCCAATGACGGCCGCTAGCAGAAGCATGGCGCCACCATTGCTGAAACCATACAGGGCTGTGAGCTGAAGTGAATGCGGGGTCACCTCCACCAGGAACAGTCCGATACCGAACCACCACATCCGGGCACCCTGGGTAAACAAAAGGAACAAAGGGCCTGGTAACTAATAACCACATCCGGGGTCCCTGCAATAGCAAGTGTTACTATGGGCCTACGAACCGTGGACTGAAACCTCACCACGTCTTGTCGCCCTTCAAAACAATAGGAACAATGGGTCTGATACCTAGCAACCACATGGGGTCATCGTGAAAAAACAAAAGGAATAATTTGCCTGATATCTCACGGGTTAAGAACGAAATTGTCAACACATACGGGCGTCATATATCTACCGAAGGAACAGTGGTATTGGTGATGCTATATGGATATTGTGTCATATTGAAAATTAGCATATATTACATTAACATCAAATCAAACGTATTGTTGAGAACACCTTTAAACTAGTACAGCTTAAGTTCGACATATAGTAAACAAGAAAACATGTAGTAAGTTAAATTGTATGGGAAACAACAAATTTAGAAAATAAAATGGTATTCGGGTTTTTTCTGAACTAACCGGTGTACAATACTATACTATAACGTCACACTACTGACTCTTAAATTGGACAGAACATGACAAATTAGGTCCATGAAATCCAGTGTTCCATATAACTATGCTGAATTAACTATACATGTGTAGCACATGGTCAGCTCTCGCTGTTGTCCAGGTTCTCGGATTTGAGGAGAGTTGAAAGCGATGAAGAGTTATACTATGGTACAACACACTCGCTCGGGCCCCGCATTACACTCACTCACAATCCGTGCAGTAACATTTATAATAACCCCCGTCCACTCATATTTCTAATCTAGTCTAATATCCCTATATACATCTATAATGCTGGCTACATGGCCCTTAATCCGTACATGTCGTGGTCAAGGAGAGGTGAGAGACCCACAAGTGAGAAGAAAGTGGTGTCGCATTAACACACCACACGAACTCCGGACATGCTTTACATCACAGAACCTATAATGTCGAACGATACGTGAAACATCCACACGTAGCTTACACATTTAGAACAGAAACTAAAAGTCAACTTTTAACGTTTTTAAATTGCGTGCATACATTTTTTCCATGAGAAGGAAAGTCGTTGTATCGCTCAGGCTGTAAGATAAAACATGCAGATCCTAGTAGGAAAGTATATGGTCATTTATACTGTAGTAAGATGAGAGATGGTATAATCACCATTGTTGTAAAACAGTGGGAAATGTAGACAAACAACTTCGTCTTGACTGGAATATGGACGTCATGTTTATCTGGGCCTAAAACAAACAAAAACTATGAATGTATTTATATCTACCACATGGTTTTACATATCAATTATGGACTTTTCATGAGGTGTATAAGTAGTTATTTGAGCCTGAAACGGATACATTTACCAGGAAGAAGTCGAGGTCAGTAGAATGTTCAGGTAATTAAACCACATACCCATCAAAATAAACGTAATTGTAATATCATATATGAAAATATGTCTTGTAATTGTTCAACAAGATGGAACCTGGCTATAACTTCCACCTGTTTATATACACCACCTTTCTATAACTGCCACCTGTCTATAATTAGTACCTGTTTATATCTACCACCTGTCTATATCTACCATCTGTCTATATATATCCACCATCTGTTTATATCCACCACTTGTCTATATCCACCATCTGTCTATATCCACCACCTGTCTATATCCACCACCTGTCTATATCTACCATCTATCTATGACTGCCACCTGTCTATATCCACCATCTGTCTATAACTGCCATCTGTCTATATCTACCATCTGTCTATATATCAACCACCTGTCTATATCCACCATCTGTCTATAACTGCCATCTGTCTATATCCACCACCTGTCTATATCTATCACCGGTGGTCTATATTCGCCACCTGTCTATATCCACAACCTGTCTGTAACTGCCATCTGTCTATATCCACCATCTGTCTATATCCACCATCTGTCTATATCCACCACCTGTCTATATCCACCACCTGTCTATATATCCACTACCTGTCTATAACTGCCATCTGTCTATATCTACCATATGTGTATATCCACCACCTGTCTATATCTATCACCTGTCTATATCCACCACCTGTCTATAACTGCCACCTGTCTATATCCATCACCTGTCTATACCCACCACCTGTCTATACCCACCACCTGTCTATATCCACCGCCTGTCTATATCCACCACCTGTCTATATACACCACCTGTCTATATCAACCAGCTGTCTATATCTACCACCTGTCTATATCCATCACCTGTCTATGACTGCCACCTGTCTATATCCATCACCTGTCTATGACTGCCACCTGTATATATCAACCACCTGACTATAACTGCCACCTGTCTATATCCACCACCTGTCTGTAACTGCCATCTATTTATATCTACCAACGGTGGTCCATAACTACCACTTGTCTATATCTACCACCTGTCTATGTATACCACTGTCTATGTATACCACCTGTCTATATCTATCGACCACCGGTCTATACTAGTAGTACATTCCCTAGCTTCTTTATCATACACCTAACTTCCCCTCGTTTATGTAGATCGTCGTATCACTTACGTGGTATTTGCAGACAAAAGATAACAAAAGATCTTTGCCAAAATAAGACCTGAACATCTATTGTTCCTATTCATAAATCTAAAATGGAATTATTATGTAATGTTATTTTCTGTCGTCGGCTACGTTCATACACACATGGTTTACTTGAGTCCTACAATAAAATCACGACTATACGTACTTAACTTGCTTATCCTGGACGTCCCTCTAAAACCTAACAGATAGTATAGTGATCCCGGACACAGACGGCACTGTTGTATATAATGCATAAATCCCCTAATGATGCTGTCAGATAGTTTACTAGGATGACATACAGCCATACATATGTAACTATACATTACAAATATTACCTTTCAAGTTTTATTCGAACTTTAATGATGTGATACTGATGTTTGCTTTTAGTTGATAAATGGTTAACGGAAGAACGGAGGACACTTTCTCCTGGGTAGTACACAAACGTTTTACATATATATTTTCATATGTTTTCATTATTTGATCTGAATTATCTAAGGTTTAAAGAACAAATAGAATACGCGCATTCTCCACTCACTGTACCTGCTCGGCTCATACGGATACGTTTAGATAATAATAATAATAATTCGAGGTTCTTATATACCGCTTTATCACAACCTACAGTTCGTAGGTCGTCTCAAAGCGGTCAACAAATTATTATCCGTTGTCATATGGCCTTTGCAACCAGCCAATACCTTTCTCAACTCCCTGGGGAGCATATAGCCGGAGCTGCCATTTCGGCGCTAACAACTAGCATTCAACAATTCTAGCACTGCGCAACCACGTACTCATTTACAGCTGAGTAGACTGGAACAAGCGGGGTAAAGTATCTTGCTCAAAGATACAACCCAGTGCCGTGCCGTGACTCGAACAAAAGTCACAATTAACTGATATACTTACACATAAGAACTATTTTGACCGTCAATATGTCACATACAGGTGTAGAATCGTCCAGTATAAGTAGTAACTTGATCTCGTCAGTAGTAAGCAGATCAGACAATATTCTCTACATCGGCTCCCACCGGATACCATACAAACTACCCTATTCTGTATGACTGTCATGTTTTCAAAGTGTCGTTCACTTTTTGCATTTATAATTATTTTATGTTTTCTCATATGTTACAATATTTAAGAAACTTCATAGTATATATATAACCTAGAATTATTGCTCTTTGTTTATATTTTACACCAGAACAAAATATATTTCCAAGTTATGATAACTTTCCATAGTTAAATACCAATAAGCTGTTACCACTAGTCGATTGTATGCTAACAAAGCTTTGTAGGACGAACATATCGTTTTGTCAACATGTAATATAACAAATAGCAGAGAGGGTTTTAATAACAAAGATGTAACGTCAACAAAAAACACGTAGAACAACGCCTCGGATTAGTCCGCTTCTAACACGTGTTGATTTTTGGTAGATTTTGTGTCCGAAGTGATGTATCAATTAAAACAGACACTGGAAGGTATTTAGTAGAGACTATTTACTACAGGGATCATTTTCTAACTTGGAAGATTTATATTAAAGTTTCAGTAATTATTGAAACGTAATCAATTTAAGTTTTATATTAACATTTAAACAATCTAACATAGCGTACGATTTGTGTTAAGCTTATATCATCCGAAGGTCTTCACTCACCTGAAAATGATGTTCTCTCAACAAAATGTGCTGTATTTATACATAGAAATATAAATCATTTTGATTCACTTTTCAGTTAAGTTTTGTTTGGTGAATTTCTACACAAAGTTTAAATTATATATAGTTGTGCTTTTACATAGAAAGATGTGGTCCTGAATGACCGTAATGATGACGTCTGAGAAAATGTTTGTTTGTCCGTGAAGTCTTTCCTTTTTGCAATACGCTGCTGTACTGAATACAATTGTATGTTTAAGAATAAGGCTACTTAAACACCACCGAGAACATTGTCAGCAATCGTGTAGTTACAAACTCAATTTATCAGCTGAAGTGGTTAATGCCACTGAAACACCACCGAGAACATTGTCAGCAATCGTGTAGTTACAAACTGGAACAATTTATCAGCTGAAGGGGTTAATGCCGAAAATTTGAATCGTTTTAAAAATAGGTTAAACGTGCACTGGAAAGATCATGCACACAAATTGTATCCGTCCTTTTAATCTACGATGTGCAAATAATTATTAATACTATTGCGACAATTAGACTACACTAGACGTCTAGATATTTTGTAATGTCATACAATGTATGCCATTCTTCGCGCACTCCATCATCAACCAATCAATTAACGGAATGCAGATAAATAACATTATTACAAGCCACAGGCTTTCCATTGATGTCTTACCTATGAAATACCTATGAGATGTTCCTTCATTAAACCTAATTCTGTTAACGGGATGTTAATACTATCGTGTGGCCCTGTATGACCTTATTGTATTGAAAACCTGCTTATACTTTATCAAATAGAAAATGCACAAAGAAAGGCATTGATGTATGATTATTTAGATTGTTAAAAAATCCTAATACATTAATGCATGGTGATAGTGACAAATCATTAAAGACTATTTTTAACATAGCAAACCTTGCATTTTATTTATGTTTATTGATATAAATAATTACACTAAGAAGGAAACGAGGATTTTAGTTCACGGCGGTGAAACATATTTTAGTCTGACGGTTCCGTCGGTAGCAGGTTAATTATGATATTTTTCAAATCGTTGTTAAAGTGTATTCTTGTCTTGATTAAAATATTCTCAAATAAAGTACAAATATATCAACGTATGTGGACAATGCTTTTGCGCTTTGATAAGTACCTAAATCCCATCCCGGTTAAATGTTTCCTGTTTTATGTACTTTGACAAAGATCCAGACTAATCCTCACAGTGGTTAAGTCAATTACCGCACAACAAAACATTATATGTGGCAAAATAGTTCTGTAGTTACGTTGAGAGGACAAAAGCAATCCACGTACGGACCGGAATCCAGTTTCTTTATTTCCGAGAGCTATCCGGCTCATAGGTTAAAGGTCAGATAATTACATCATGGATATATGTACAAGAAATTATTATACGAATTTAAATTGATTAAGTGGATAGTAAGCTTGCAAAGTACACAAGTAGTTTTCCATACCAGACATTGAATTATCTACGTTTTCTCCTAGCACAATATAAATACTTTCCTAGATTACATAATTCTTTAACATTGTTAGTACTCAATAATTTCGTTCACTTAAAAACATTAGGACTTCTGTGATAAAATCGCTTGATATATTTACATCTCAGGTCTTGATAAAATGAACATTTTAGGATGAAGTGAAATTCATCTTCTATATCACAAGAAGCACAGCGAGTACATGATCTATTCTGTCGAACAACAATGTTTCGTCTACCCACTTCGATATTTAAATTATGAGACGAAAATCTAAAACATGTAATACGGCGTTTGTCGTGGAGCAGCTTAAAACGATCGGGATGTTCGATATCGTTCATGGTGCATGCGTATGCCATGCCATAGAACTGTAACATTAATTAGTTAAATTACCCTGGGGAAATAGTTTATACTAATGCCCCAACAATAAGAAATGTATGTTTAATATCTATAGTTCATCAAAAATAGAAGGAAAACTTACCCATGGCGATACCTTTAGACCGTGTATGTGAGTGGCTGTCGGCTACGACTGTTTTATCTGTGGTTATAATATCACTATGACAAGGCACGACCAATCTTGTCTCTGAATACCTTTGTAACAATGACATATAAATAAACATTATAGTTGATAGTATGTATCAGCATGTCATCGTGTCAATTATCTTTACACGTGGGATGATAGTTTGTAATGGTTTAAAGGAATGGTAACGAGGGGAGACAACTCTAATAGACGTGAACGATATTTATTCGGACGTGGACTGATCAGGATTTACCTTGACACAGTACATCCCCTATATAATTTATCGTGAGTTCTAGGTGGCACGTGTAAAATAACATCGCGTGTTGCATCCCAACATTCCAGGTAAAGGTCCTAAATCGGTCGAATCCAATCCAGTTTTTATCACATAATGAACTGTGTTATCCAGTGAATATACCCATGTCATATGTTTTGGCGTAGTAACCCATGTAATATGACCTATCAGCCATGCGATTGGTTGTAAATATCAACTGTTTCAATAGTGACGTCACGCCTAGAACAAGTACATGACGTCACATACTAAAAGTATCGTTTTACACGAATAAATGCCACACATATTGATTATGTGATAAAAAGGGTCGCTTAATTGGAAAACTCTTAGACTCGTTTCTTAAATCTCATATGAAATGGAAACTCATGAAAGATCCTATAAATATGGTATATATAACATCTGTGATAATATATATATATATATATGTATGTCCAATATGCAAAATATGATATATGTGTCATGTCTGCCTTTTACCTAAATACATAAATGTATCATTATTAAAACACTAACAAGAGGAATAAGTCGCACGTGAGGATGCACACTGAGCAAGGCATCTGACAGTGTGTTTGTTGGTGTGGTACGTCCCATAAACAATTCAATTCAATTCAATTCAACTTTTATTCAGTAAGTTTGATAACTTATTGGATAACTATAATTTACAATAAATTACAAATGATATATACATATATGTATTGTGCTTTCAACAATCAATATTTACATTTGCATGGCATTGTCACTATGTAGCCTCTTTCAGTGGAGATTACTAAGGAGAGACACCCGACGTCAAAGCCTGCCAATTTTTACCGTTACATGACCGCGTGATTTTTTTATGTATATCAAATCAAAAGTGGCGCACACTGAGCCTTGATATTTGCTATGATATACAGGGACAGTAAACGTCCCTGGATATATTTACTTTAAGATTATTTTAGTAGTATTCCCTAAGGCGCGTGCTTAAAAATAACTTACATTCATTGCCGATTCTAGTGTAAAACTAAAATTGTCGATTATAGTGATCTGTCTCCAACTGATAAATTGTTGATTTGTCACGGTTCACTTCAACGAAAAATCTCTCCAAGATATTAGTATGTAGATGTATATCAAATCAAAAGTGGCGCACACTGAGCCTTGATATTTGCTATGATATACAGGGACAGTAAACGTCCCTGGATATATTTACTTTAAGATTATTTTAGTAGTATTCCCTAAGGCGCTTGCTTAAAAATAACTTACATTCATTGCCGATTCTAGTGTAAAACTAAAAGTGTAGATTATAGTGATCTGTCTCCAACTGATAAATTGTTGATTTGTCACGGTTCACTTCAACGAAAAATCTCTCCAAGATATTAGTATGTAGCTAGGGCGACTATATATAGGCGGCCGCTTAAAGACATATTTCCTACATTACTTACGTACACGCGCAAATCTTTTTGCACTTTACTGAAACAAAACCCACATATAACGTCAGAAACTCCCACAATAGGAAAAAACGATCTTTCGTCATAATATGTAAATGTTTCAAAATCAGGTACACTGTGCATGCAAGCCTACAGAATGGCAAAATTACAAATCAGTCTCCTTTGCTTTGGGTGGATTCTGAGTGGAACCATCTAACTTGACACAAATTGAAAGATGCATTAAGTATGTCAAGGACTGACGGACCTCACAGCGATGTGTTGATATGTTGGAGATTGTAACTAGGGCCTTGTCATTTTCTGATTAATTGTTCCTGTCGAATGAAGTCGGATCAGTCATTGAGCGTTTGCAAGGATTTACATGACGATTGAAGTGATATCATCAATTGAACCTGAAAACACCAACTGAATTATCATATAATCTTATCGTTATAGTGATATTACATTGTGCATGGATGGCATAAAAGGTTTACAGCTTCGCCAAATTTGGGCGGCCTTGATAGTGCGTCGAGAGCTACTTGTACCTGGTATTCGGCCTCTTGTTTTAATCTACTATGTGTTATTCAACTACCTGATGGAAAGGTAACAATGTGTCCCTTGAAACTTCACGACGATACAAGTATTTTTTTTTTATATATTTAGTGAAATAATGTCGCATGACCAAAAGTATAGATGTTTATTCAAAGGTCACTGTCACGCCCGTTGAGAACTACATGTATATATATATGTGTTCCGCTCTTTGGAACGGCCATTACCTATGTCGTTATGACCCGAAACATAGTCGCCGATAGCACTTGTATGAGGATATAACTGTTTTATTGTATTATATAGTTTCAATATTGAAAGAGATATTGAGCCGATACCGCATTACTAATGATACAGGCGTATATATATATAACGCTAATAAAATGAATAAGTCAGTTATGCGTTGGTATGGCTACGGTGGGGGACAAATATATTTGTACGTTCCGGTCTGTTAGTAAATCTGCAAAACTATAACGGATGAGCATGAGATGGAAAACCGTGGAAAGAGGTGCTTTGATGTTAAATTTTAAGTATTTTTGAAGTAATTAATAAAAGCGGAAGGTGAATTCAAAAGACATTGCCTAGATCTTGATCTAGAGATTGTATTGTTTTGATATAATTAAACATGATTTGTTTAGGCAGTTCCGCTGTTTTTATGAATCTTTTAATAATTCATAATGATTAAGCAAGATGTTGAAAAACCTGTTCCATATGCTCGAATTCCATCAAAGAGTGTTATATCTCGCTAGGAACATTTCTGTGCGTAATTTTCGAAAAAAACGATGAGACAACTTGAAAAAACTCAGTTTAAAATCGAAACGCTACTTTTCAAAATTATGAAAATGAAATATACTGAGGATGATTTTGTGATAATGCTTGATATCCGGGTTGACAATACCGTTTTTGAGTTCTGAAGCAAATTTTGCAGCAGATTGCAGCATTCCTATGGAAACCAACTGTAACCCTGCTGTGGCCCAGCGTGTTTGTGTTTTCATAAGAGGATGAACATATTAAAGACTTCATCAGTAATGAAACCATTGCTAAGTCCTTCAATTTCACTTTAACACTCTTTGAATAACGATATCCTCAAAAAATTAAATCAAAAACACCTAAGAGTGTCCTACGTCAGCCGTCTCCTCGATCTTAACCTACAGATTGCCGTCCTCAGATGATCCTGGCTGCTGTGCCCCCCTAGACACCCGTCCTCCTATGATCATGGCTGCTGTGTCCCCCTAGACACCCGTCCACATATGATCCTGGCTGTTGTGTCCCCCTAGACACCCGTCCTCATATCATCGTGACTGTTGAATCCCCCTAGACACCCGTCTTCAGATGATCCTGGCTGGTGTGTCCCCCTAGACACCCGTCCCCATATGATCCTGGCTGTTGTGTCCCAATAGACAACCGTCCTCGTATGATCCTGGCTGTTGTATCCCCCTAGACACCCGTCCTCGTATGATCCTGGCTGTTTTATCCCCCTAGACACCCGTCCTTGTATGATCCTGGCTGCTGTGTCCCCTTAGACAGCCGTCCTCATATACGATCCTGGCTGCTGTATATCCCTAGACACCCGTCCTCCTATGATCCTGGCTGCTGTATCCCCCTAGGCACCCGTCCTCATATGGTCCTGGCTGTTGTGTTTCTCTAGACACCCGTCCTCGTATGATCCTGGCTGTTGTATCCCCTAAGACAACCGTCCTCATATGATCCTGGCTGTAATGTTCCTCTAGACACCCGTCCTCATATGATCCTGGCTGTTGTGTCCCCTAGACACCCGTCATCATATGATCGTGACTGTTGTGTCCCCCTAGACACCCGTCCTCAGATGATCCTGGCTGTTGTGTCTCCCTAGACACCCGTCCTCAAATGATCCTGGCTGTTGTGTCCCCCTAGACACCCATCCTCGTATGATCCTGGCTGTTTTATTCCCCTAGACACCCGTCCTTGTATGATCCTGGTTGCTGTGTCCCCCTAGACAGCCGTCCTCATATATGATCATGGCTGCTGTATATCCATAGACACCCGTCCTCCTATGATCCTGGCTGCTGTATCCCCCTAGGCACCCGTCCTCATATGGTCCTGGCTGTTGTATCCCCTATAGACACCCGTCCTCATATGTGATCGTGGCTGCTATGTCTCTCTAGACACCCGTCCTCGTATGGTCCTGGCTGTTGTATCCCCCTAGACACCCGTCCTTGTATGATCCTGGCTGTTGTATCCCCCTAGACACCCGTCCTCGTATGATCATGGCTGTTGTGTCCCTCTAGACACCCGTCCTCATATATGATCCTGGCTGCTGTGTATCCCTAGACACCCGTCCTCGTATGATCCTGGCTGCTGTATCCCCCTAGACAACCGTCCTCATATGATCATGGCTGTTGCGAGGACGTTAAACCTCACTTAAACAAAACAAAAACTACCACATGACAAAATACAGGGTCGACTTGCTTCTAAGCTATACGATAAGCGGGTTTAATATACTATTCCTATTCTAAACGTTCCGCACCTTGATAGTAACATTACCACTCTCTCAATCTACGATGTCTACACCAAAACCTAACCAAAACCTACCCTACCAAACCTAACCTAAATCTACCCTATCAAACCTAACTAAAACTTTCCCTACCAAACCTAACCAGAACCTACCCTACCAAACCTACCCAAACCTAGATTTATCTCTACAGCACATGCGCGCACAGTATCCCGATACAGTAATCGATCCATCCTTGGAGATTCGTCTCTCACAGAAAGAAGGAGAAGAACATTTCGCAACTGATTCAATATTCTG